ACAGGAGGTTATAGGAACAAGAGGACAGATCAGGCTAATGCTCAGGAAAGGCAAGCATGTGATCTGAGAAAGCCACACATAATACATTAACATGTTACTTAGAAAAAATACCACAGTTCGTCCCTGGAGCATCATATGTCTTTTCATTTATTTATTAAGCATGATGTGTTTAAATTAATACTGCAATGACAGCTCAGGAGCGGAAATTCATTCGTCAGTCCAGTGGAAAGCTGCCCTCCCGAGACAGGAGTGGAGGTAGATTGATGGACCCACGGTGTCAGCACGGAGGCTGCTGTCCATTGCGTGTCTGGCAGGGATCAACGCTGATAGCTGACAGCGAGAATTAAAAACAAAATAATACAAAGCTCATTCCATGCTTCTGTCTGCCCAGTAGCACTTCCACAATGATCAGAGCATTCGGTTTTTATATTTTAAAAAATGCCCTTACTAGTTGGCTGTGTCGGGTGGTGGCGGTTTTTAACGACACATTTATATGTTTACGCGATCTAACCCAAAAGGCTTTATTGTGGAAAAACATTCTGCCACTGTATCACAGTTATTATGGAATGGAGTAGAGTATTTAAATTTTGAGAATTTTATATTTCTTGTCTTTGGCACCTATAACAATAATAGGCAATAATTAAATGATGGGTGACTATAAAAATAAAAAACACATGTGCTCATGGCATGTAGAACAAGCATTAGAGGCTATAAATGTATACTTGGTGGAGGCATTGAGATAAAGTTGCAGTGACATGCGAGTTTTAATGTCTTCATCTTGCTTTCAGATGGATGGAGATGTAATAGATATCTTGCACATAACACGAACGGCAGAATTTTAAAGACGGCATGTAAGCAGAACACCATTGAGCCACATCACAGAGCACTGATGTTGTGACAGCAATCCAAGGCTGGTGCATTAAACTTTACCTTTGTCCTCAACATTATCATCAGTCATGGTCAATCTACTGCTGGATGAAGGCTTCCCAAAGCTACCATGACTTCTCACGTGATAGGTGGTGGTAATATCGCTTTTAATAAAAAAAAGGCATTCAAATAGAAACAAATTTAAACGTTTAATATTTTTATCTCATCATTATCACGACATGCAAATCCCTTTTGTCAATCCGATGCTGGATGAAGGCCTCTACACTGTGGATTGTAGTTGCTTTGGAGGAACAATGCGAGGTGGTCGAGACTAATGATGGAGTGGCAGCTAAAAGAGAGAACACGCCCTTGATGAAGTGATTAAATTAGCTCCTGTGCAAGTACTAGATGGGTAGTTACATTAAAGGACTGTCAGAGATGGAGGTGGCTTGGAGCGTCCTTCATACAGGAGTTGATTGAACATGGCTGCTGATAAGAAAGTGATAGCTGGGGAACCGTTGTATTTTTTTCACCTACTGTAATTTAAAACAAAATATTTCATTGTATTTGCAAACATGTCTCCAATGGCTATCTCAGGATAGTATGTTGTGCAGGTATGGTTCACTGTTTACCTTATTTTACATTTATATGGAGATTATTATTGTGCTTCAAAAGGACAACAAAAAACACGATAAATTACATGTATTTTAGGCATACACACAGGCAGTGTGTCCCAGAATCTCTGATATGAGTTTCTAGGTTTGTAAATGAAAACATATTTTAGTAAATCGCATGTTGTTGCGTTCTAATAACAGTACTGTCTTGATGTCATATTAAAACGTATGGGAGTAATGTTGCAGGAACGGATTTTTTTGTGGAGGACCATTCTAACTCTGTTGTCTCTTTTTCCCCATTAATGAAACTTAAAACTCTTGTTGGAAATCCCATGATTCCAAGTATCTATTATCAAGATAAGAGATGCAGTAATTGTTTTTTGGTTCATGGTTCACTGAAAAAGAATCGGTGTATTAAATAGGTTGACTGGGTGATGTTATCTGGCCATTGTTAAGTGAAAACTGAGAATGACCAGGAGTGTATTTTTGACCATTGCCTATGATGATAGTTATCCAATTCATTCAAATTCCATGCATTGCAGTGCTGCAGGTATTTTAATGCATGCTATATTTGTAAATGGATTATGTCCAATGGAGCAATCTGAAACAAGCAGCTGATTCAAATGCTTGTTATTCAGCTCTTGGTGCCTAGGAACACTGATGCAAATAAACATCCACAGTAAACAAGAGGAATATTTATGTTAGCAGGGAAACCATGAAGATATATTATCTATTCTTAACAAGATTTTATTGCACAAAATAGCTGAGCCACTAATCACAGCAGCTGGACGGTTCAAAGGTACACAAGTATTAAAATGATATGTTTATGTTCAATACATAAACAATGACCACGTGCTGCACTGTGTGAGTGTTAAAGTAGTGTTTACTGCTAAGTGGAGCGTGCTCAGACATTAGGGACACTGGAGTACCTGGCACCATTGTTAACATGCGTGACTTTCAATTGTCTTTCTTTACACAATGGCCTCGACAGATTTAAGACCTGGCCATCGTTTGTCACCAGCAAGTGCTGTGGCGGTCCGATTACAAGAAGTAGCTTGCTCACCGATTACGTTTCGATCTAACTTTAGAACGATAAAACACAGTACATTTCTAACCACTGAAAGCTACTTATTTTTTACGGACTAACTTGGAGCATGGTTTAATAATAGTAATTTCAACTTGTAACGCGCGATGCAATATTCGCTCAAACTTGAAGAGAGAGAACGCCTCGCTCAAGGAACCACAGACGAGCAAGCAGGCGATGAGCCAGTGCCAAATTCCCTCTCGAGCACTGCACTTTATATATTTTAGTGTCTTATCGGCCATAAGTATGTACATGTGGGAGGAAACCCACGCATATCCCATACAAAGGGGAGAGGTAAGGCCCACTTTCACTCTACCACATTGTTATGGCAAGCCAGGGTATGGCACCTCTTCGATGCACATGGTAAGGGAGTTTTCACAACATATGTGCGATCCACTAACCCTTGCCTCCCACAGTGCTGGATTACACACATCAGCTCCGCGTTATTAATATGCGATACGCTGAATAAAAAGTTGCAGTGCCCCCAGCATTCGTCCAGAAATAGAAAGCTTACGCTCTTGCTTGGTGGCGAGTGAGATGGAAAATGAGGCTGTGTGCTGGGTGGTGGGCTTGCCTGGGTCAGACAGGGAAGAGCAGACACCCCCTGGTCAAAACTATATCTGTATATATAGCAACTTCCTCTGGACAATCTCAAACATACGTGAAACCCTGAAGGCAGCGCAAGCAAAGGGTGCCTGTTGCTTGATTTACTGCATCTGGCCACTTCAAGCCGGTGGGTGTGATGTGTTTTGATGGATTATTAAATTGTTGTTGTTGTTTAGTACCTTTCTGCACATTTTGTAGTGGATTCTCTTTTGTTTTTTTATCATCACCAGCCGTAATCAGTCCACTGCTGGATGAATGTGTCCCCATGCTGTCACCGTCTGTTATGGTCCTACGATGTAACAATCCACCCAGCACCTGCAAAGGAGCTGACATCATTGCTTGATCTAGCTGGCAGATGTCCCTTCAGACGTGTTACCTCCTTTGACTTGCAACGCTCGTTATTATAGCCCACCAGCCATCATCCTTCTGAGCAAAGTGTCTCGCCCAAGCCCGCTTACTTTTCTTAAAGTTATGTCTGTAACCTGTGTCTGTTCTCCAATCCATGTGTTCTTCCCTCTCTCTCTCTATCTCTGTAAACCTAAGCATGCATCTCTCCACACTTTTGTGCACACGTTAGAACTTTTGGTCCATCTTCATCAGTGTTCATGTTTCTGATTCATGTATCATCGCAGTGAACATGCATTGATTAAAAACTATCCTCTTTAGACACATGGGCGTGTTGCGTTGCGTTATCAAAATGTATCTTCCCAAAAGTGCTCCATGCTCATCTCAGTCAGTCTGAAATAGCTATCATAAATATATAAAGATACACAATCTGCTGTGTTTTCCGGGTTGGTTTCTATCACATACTGCATATATCTGATTGTTCGAGATTATTTGTTTTGTCCTTATTAAAATAAGAGATGGCTAATGTTTTTTCTATATATAAGTTTACTTTTGTCCAATCTCATTTTCAGAAATAATCTTCTAATATCACTGAATAATTTTGGTGAACACGTCACTTGGTCTATTATTTGAGTACTTTGTTCTTGTTTATTTTTGATATTGTTTACATCACTTCTAATTTTTTTAAATTTAGTCCTTGATTTGTGAGAGCTTAGCTAACTACAAAGTAGAGAAACCTTTCCTAAACCCTGCTTGCTCCCATGGTTGGTTGTCCTTGACATTTTTCATTCTTCCGTGCCTATTGATATTCATCAATAATTTGTATAGTGTACTTGCATAGAGATGATGAATGGACTATAGTTCTTCAAATCAGTTTTATGTCCCTTATTGAATAGAATAATGTTTGAGGTATTTCATTATATCAATATTCTATTTTTATGTAAAAAAAAAGTAACACAACAGACTCTGTCTCCTCGACAGACCTGTTCTCCACCTGAGGACGGCTGCTTGCGTTGTGGCCGAAACGTCGTGAGAATTATGTTATTATGCTTTATTTGTATTATTTTATTACTTCCCTTCTACGTGACTTTACCGAAAGAACCAAAAAGACAACTCCAACAATTGATTCTACTTGTTGTTGATGTCCACATTAACTCCACGTGGTTCAGGAGTGTTGCACATTTGAATGCTGTGAAAGGTACAGTTGACTTCCTCAAGTGTGACGCTCCAGTGCCACACTTACTATTGGAAGAAAATGGCTATTATTGATAAGCTATATATTAGCCTTTTCCATAATAAGATAATTCCTGAGAAAATACCTTTTTCAGCTGATGTAATATTACGCAACATGTTTTTGACTGTTATACCTGTTAATCCAATGAATTAGGAAGAGGCTATTTGTATAAATATAACATTTGCTTGTGCGCTTTTGGCAGGCTTCTGCTGATTATTTGGTGCTTATGGTGGTCCTCTCTGCTCTGCAGAAAAAACCCGAAAAGAAATGGCTGGCAAGGGCTGCAGTGGAATGGACGTAATGCTGTCAACATTGGAGGTGTGAGCTCTTATAAAGTGTGTTGGGATTGTGCCCAAGTGTATTTTGCTCGCAGAAGTATTTCGTCTAATGTAATTCAGACGTGGGAAATGTTGCATGAATGTCTGCAGGCTCGGTTCTTTTTTTACAAATGAGAGCATGGATGCACCTGTACACATAGGATTCTGTATACTTATACTGTGTACGGCTGTATTTTTGTGTTTGTTTATCTGTGGAACTTGAAATTGATACTTCTAGCCTGCTCAGTTAACATAAAGTAGAACATAAATGTGGGTTTATTTTGAAGTTTTGTTCCTTGCTTGTTTTAATTAGGAGACTATTACTCATCTAGTCAAGTACAGTAAAGCCTTGGATTGCGAGCATAATTCGTTCCGGAAACGTGCTTGTAATCCAAAGCACTCGTATATCAAAGCGAATTTCTCCATAATAAATAATGGAAACTCGGATGATTCGTTCCACAACCCAAAAATATTCATGTAAAAATGCTTAATACAAAATACTTTTTTATATTTTTATCATTTAAATTTAATATCAAGTAATAAAATGTATAAATTGCATTTAATCGTAGCTGGTGTGAGGGAGAGGAGAGGAGGAGGGGGCCATTGTTGTAGTACAGTTACTAAAGAGCAGTCACTACACTTGGACACAAAATACAAAAAATGTTTTTACGCACACACACGTGGTCACAACACTACAGTAAACAAGTCGACGCTCGCACAGATGTTGACTATACGAGGTGAGACACGCCGACTGAGACCGAGCATGGGAGACGATTACCCACAATCCCGCAGCGAAAGAGAGAGAAGAACCATCGGCTCAGTTGTGATCACGTGACGCTCGGCAGGCAAAGCTTATACTGTACGTACTACTCGTATTGCAAGACCTCGCTCGTTTATCAAGTTAAAATGTATTAAAAAAATTTGCTCGTCTTGCAAAACACTCGCAGACTAAGTTACTCGCAATCCAAGGTTTTACTGTATATTCAAATTGAATACTGCTTCATTCTGGTGAGGCAGTGGTGAACACACTATACTATGAACCCAACGACCCTCTTCCAATCACTGGCCTTGGCAAACATCAGTGGCGAGTAATATCCAAACTGGTCCTCGGTCTCCCCTTCTTTGACCCGCACTCCCAACTTGGTGAAGTATGGTCAAATAAACATATGACCAAAAGGGGTGAGCAGGTTTTCATCCATCACGATACTGGTTAGAGAATGTACATTATTATTAGGTTATTAACTTTGTAAACAAATCTTTCTGTTTCAGAATTCAAAGGACCACCAGGTCACAATGGACATCTTGAATATCTTGTTGGAGTTGCTTTCAGCTGGTATTGCTACATATTTACTGTACTTTCATACACATAATGGGGACAAAGCTATCAAAAACATCTCTGGCTTGTGATGCAATGCATATAGATTGTGTAAGGCTGCTTATGCATGCAATGGTGTTACTCTCTGTGAATTTTTGCCTTTGAGTAATTTGGCTCAGAGCGCTCCATACTTGTTAAATGTGCAATTATTTTTAAGTTACAAAGCATTTACGAGGCAACTCACAAGCTCATGCTCACAGTTTATATTTAAAAACACGAGTTACTTTAAGGTCTTCAAAATTGAGCACGCAGAAATATCACAGCAACCTAATGTGTAGTAGTAAAATCTCGTTTGCAAGTTCCTTACCACAAACTATTGTAGAATTCGTAGTTTGAGCCTGGATAGCACTTGTGTGAATGGCCGCCATGTACAACAGGAAGCTACCACGTTGGGGCTCTGTCGTGGGCTATATTGAGCACTACAATGTTGATGTGCTGCTGCATACACAGCTGTGGTCCCTACTTTCGCCAACCCGCGCTGACCAGCATGGGGAAGCATGGTCAAGTAACCCCCACGACCCACCCTCATCCAGCGGTGGATTTCCAGAGGGCTGTACATGCACAAGGACTTGTTCGCTGTTACTGACATTTAAATGAAGAAGACTAATTTCAAATTGTTAAATTTCACATTTATAAATAACATGGCTTAACGGCATTGTTTTGTCCACCTGTGCGTGTGGTGGGGCTGTTGTGTGTGTCCAGGCAGCGGAGGTCGTGTGAGCAATCTGGTGTGTAAGGGTGGCTCTCAGATTCTACTTCAGACGCTGGTGAGGGCTGCCAAGGATAGTCCCACCAATGATGAGCTGATGCTGGTCATTCACTCTCTGCTTGCCAAAGTGGGACCAAAAGGTTGGGCAGCTTTTCTCATCTGGTCCGTCTTTACTCCAGCCAGCCTGGCATCTTGTTTGCTCAAATCTCTGCCTTAATCGTCGTTGGCATTTATCAGTTTTTTCAAATTAATCAGTGCTCGTGATGAATGCATAGAATGTTGTGCGTCAGAATGTATTGCAATTGTTTCTAATCTTGATGTATTTAACCATCCTTCAAGGAGTTCAGTAGTCACTATTCACGTGCATTAGAGTTGTCAGTATTCAGCATTCAACATAGCCTTTCAATTGAGTTGCATTTGGGTCTTTATGGCTCTTTGTGGTAGGCAGAAGCATGTGTTGCTTACTAAATTAATGATCAAATTCAGAAACTCTGATGCATAAAATATGTAGTCAGCGTGAGAAAAGTAAATAGTGTAATGATGCATTGATTCATCTTTTGAAATCCGTTCTTATTCAGATAAATGTATTGAATTGAGTGTGGGAATTGATTATTTTCGATTCATATACATTGTACATAATTGGTTCATTTGACTAACTGCAGCCACTAGAAAAACAACATTATTTATTCTTGAATCATGAACTTTAATTGTGACAATTTATCGAATTGCACGGGAGTTGATCGGTGCAAATGTAGTGAATCCTGATACAATATAGTGTCTACGTACTTTTGTATTCACAAGTTTGTAAGCGCTCGCTACAATTATTGGTCAACCAGTTTTACTATAGGAATCGGTGATTTATTATGAATATAATGTTTGATAATAAATAAAAGATCTACTTTTGTTTTATTATATCAATCATGTAATTTATTTTATGATTTCAGATGCTAAGTTCGCAACAAAAGCCAGACTGTGCGGTGCGTTGCCAGTAACGCTGACGCTTGTCAAACAGAATCTGCACAATCAACGCCTGCTCCTGCCCTGCATGCACACCATCAAGGCCTACTCTGCCAGCAGTGAGCTTCCGCACTTGGCAACATTTGATCTCTTTTCATCTTTCCACAAAAAAAATGCACTGCATGCAAAGCGATTTACAGTAAATGGGCCTCCGGTTGATGAGTTGGCTTTGCCTCCATGGTAATGGAGACTTTCTGCGTCGGTGGGGTTTATGCGCATGGCCTTCTGCTGTCATCAATGCAGTTGTGAATGCTGTCTCGCTTGGGAGAAATGGTGCGGTGGAACTGCTTTTCAAAATCGTCGGCCCATTCAGCAAAAGACAAAGCACTTTCATCAAGTGAGTAAGCAGTCAATGCCAATACCATCACAAATCAACTGTGCAATCACTTTGAACTGCATAAAGTCATCACTTTAAATAACACAATCATTAGCCTTGTGTGTGCAGTCACATTTAAAATGAAAATAATTCAAGAAACACATTTGCTAACATTTAAAAAAATGATAATACATCACTAATTATTATTATTAATTTACACAATGGAAAATTTATGTCAGAGCTTTATTAGCATGTAGCAAATCTGAATGTAAGACATTTTATATTGACATTGGTTTAACTGCAACGTGCTGTAATTCATTGCAACATGTTGGATGTTGTGTTCTTCCATAATAGAGGTTTTTTGGGTTAGATCGCGTAAATATATAAATGTGTCGTTAAAAACCCGCCACCACCCGACACAGCAAACTAGTTAGGGTTGTCACGTAAACAGAACATGGCAATTCCTCACTAGTATAGCACAACATTTACAATATGAGGTTGACATTTCGCCAGTAATTACAACTAGCTTCATCAGGCGACAGCCAGATTTGTGGAGAAGTCCACCTGTTTCGTTCCTTCTATAGAGGCGTAGATGTGGTGACCACACTTCTGCGCTCTTGCGCAAAGTGGGGGGGGGGGGGTGTTTTTAATGACATATTTATATATTTACGCGATCTAACCCAAAACAACCTGTTATGGATGATATTGGTCGCGAAAGTCGACGGTTCAACTGTTGTTGTATTCTTGTTAGCATGGAATATAATATATAGCTTTCTTCCAGTTCACTATATCCACACGTTTTACAATGAGAGCATTTTAAAGACTTCACCCATAACTAAGCAGTTTTGAATTTGGGGATCAGAACTATAATTGCAGTTTCAAAGCCAAGCTCTCAGGCGTGTAGCGGTTGTGCTTTGGTTGTGTGGCATTAAAGTTTCAACTCATCTGGCTTATACATCCCACAATTTAATCTTATTGAATATTTCTATTCGGTTATTAAAATGCACTTTTTCAACGGAATATTCCACGCATTATTAACATTTGTAGCTTCTATATGTTATCACACGTTATGCGAGGTATTTCTCAATACAATTAGAGGTATGTATTATGTCGTTTACAAATATCCAGATGAAATATAACCAAAACAATCCTAAGAAAGTGGTATGGTTGAATTTTTTGCGAAAGTGAGATACGTTTACTAAAATGATTTAAAATAACAATACAACACAAGTGTTGTAAATACTTTTTTTGCAGTGTGAGTCACTGTAATTGAAGTAGCAGAGCACTGAAATAACCTAAAGCAGAGCAGGCGACTGCCACCTTTGCTTATGTGCATGATGTCATCAGTGTAATGGATGCCTGTCTAGTATTAAAAAGGTTTGCAAAGCATAACACTTCTGTGTGCAGCAGCCGACCTTGTGATTGAAAGGGTATGGCCTCTTACACTTAAAACATCATTCACCACTATTAAACTGTTCGTCTCCTCTCTGTCTATATCTCTGGGGAGAAACCTTTCAGCAATGGTTACATCGTCTTTTGATTTTAAAATGTTTTTCAAGTGTTTTATGTCCAATTGTGCTATTGCCATTTTTGTCATAATCACATATCACAATGCCACCTTTTGAAATAACTTCAACAAACCTCTGGTCATTACAATAAGGACATAACTTTCCCATCCACCGAGCCACTGAGAGTAATTTTAATTATATGATAGTAAAGCTAATATTTTAAATTTGTAGCGTTTTTTTAGCAAGTGCAGAAACGAATTTTATGCAATGGGCTTTGTGTGTACATAGTAATTGGTGACCCGGATGAGATCATAAACTCGCTAAACGTAACGATCCGGTTTAATAAGAGATGCGAACCGAGGATCTCAGTCGTGCTACCAAAGTGCGCTAACTTATGAACCACTTGTCCACCTGTCGTAACATTGTCTGTCAAGCGTGCTGCTCACGTTTTCCCAGCAGAGGGCACTGTACGACCGGCTGCATGGAGTCAAATAAAACATGAGGGGTCCCTTGAACAGAAGCGGACTGTAGCTCATCTCACCCCTGCAACCAAATATGCCCCAAACTAAAATGGCACACAACCATGTAGTGAAGGGTGGATTTGGCAGCACAGATGTAGAGTATTCATTTGGGGGTGTGCTGTGCGCTGGAGAGTATCAAGCATTAGCAACTGTGTTGTAATAAGAGGCAGGATGCTGGTTATATAATGGATTTGACCCTTTGGCAGATAAAGCATTTCCCATAAATCTTACCTTGGCCTTCTAGCCTTACATTTGTGGAACTTATATTTGTCTTTCATTTACCTTGACAGGATCACCTTGGATACCCTTGCAACATTACTAAAATCAAGTAAGTGATAAATGGGCTGGATTTAAACAATTACATTAAGTGTTGGGTTCTCAGGGTTACTGGAGTTAACATTGAGCATATGTATATGGAATCTGCCTGCTTTTGCTTGGTATATACTTTCATCATCAGGAACAGGTTTATTGCTTGGTTTCCATTTAAGCTTAAAGAATAGTGTAATATAAAATATAATGTGTAACTTCGGTGATCTGTGGTGAGAATGTCAATATTGGAAGCGTGCTTAATTTTATATTCAATACATCGTTTTGATGTAAACCTTTAGTTGAATTATTGAATGCAGGAAGTTAGTCTATAAATAAGTATGTAAACACTTGTGAATTCCAGAATGGACAAGTTAAAGATTAAACATAAGAGATGTAAAAATGCATCACTATATCAATACATGCATATTCTTCAGCTCACAATACGTGCATTGAATTGCATGTGTAAGATTCATTGTTTGTGAATTTGCATATCTTGTATCCAATGGCTTTGAGACCCTACCACATCCACCACACTGTTTCTAAAATGATTTTTAAAATAGAACACTGAATCAGAACAATGCACCAAATCACCAACAGGGGTGTAAGCTGAGAATCGTTATAGCTCATACAAGCATCCACGTTTAATTGGATAAATTAACAACATTGCTTGTGAAATTCACTGCAGAAACGAATGCAAGAAGAGCGGTAGACCGGGGGAACATTGTCTTCCTGCTCAACGTGTACCAAGACTGGCACCGTCACGACGCTCGCCACAGCCATGTGCCTGTACGTCGCGGCTTGCTCACCTGCCTCAAGCAGATCACCGCCATCAAGCACGGCCGAAGGGCCTTCCTGGAGGCTGACGGCATGAAGATTTTCTACACCACCTCACAGGTGGGCCCACCCATCTATATGGTTGCCAGCTTTGAAATTAACAAGACATGTCGACAGAGATCGCAAAAGCAAGTGTTGTACTTCAGCGTCATATATCCTGGCAAATAGGTGTTTGCGACAATGGCGTCAAATCACGAAAGCTTATTCAAGAGCCAGAATAGTACTGAGAAATATGGACGTTGCATCTGAAATATTTATTTTCATTAACTAAAAATATATAGGTGGATATTCCACACTCACCATACTGATCACCTAAGAGCAGGGGCATCATGAATGTGGGATCATGGGGCAATCCGCCGTGGTGTCACTGAATAAGTGTAGCGGAATAACTTCTTGAACAGGTATACACCATGTAAGCTTTTATTGAAAACCGCTGTGCAGGATTGCATATATTTACCTGTCGAAAATAATCCACATTTTGAACGTTAACCCCATTCACACAATAAGCTGCATGTGCACGGCTTCCAGTTGGCACAAATGGAAGTTTTCTGTTGCAGATGAGTGCTTGCGTCACTATAACCATCTGTAATGTTAACTCATTGTCGCACATCTCAAAGGTACGTTACGCGTCAATGGCTAGCCAACAAGTTTCATTGTTGCCGAATGCGCACCCCCTGGCAGGAGTGCCTTACCAGCCGAGGACTGGACCTGCTGGTGAACTTGTCTACCATGATCATGCGAAAGTGCTGCCCCAAGAACCGCTTGCCTCTGCCCACCATCCGAAGCGTTCACCACTTCCCGCTGCCTGTCATACCCACCACGGGCCCAGTGGCACAGCTCTACAACTTACCCCCCGGAGGTAGACAACTTTTCAGTACCAATGTCACGAGCAATCTGCTTTCGTATATCTCACTTTACACTAAAGGTCGCCGTCTTTTTGACGGATGAGGCTTTGTTTAGACTGATTGCGCGCTTCCCTAATTGAAAGCCTTGTTTTGTCAGTGGATGACGTGGCCGATGAAAGTGACGATAACCTTGAACAAGATTCCGAGCAGGAGAATGAAAATGAAGAGGAAGATGACTTTTTAGAGAAGGTAAAAGCACCTCTGCAGTACTTGAATAACATTTATTTAACCTTGGCTGCATTTGCTGAATATATTTCTTTTCTAAAATAATAAGCCTTACTCAATTCTGTGCGGAACTTAAAAAAAAATGGTTTTCCTAATTCCCTTCTTGCTGTGCTGGACAATAATTCAGTGTGATTGCAGTGCTGATTGTCTACTGAATAGATGTGTTTGCACATTACATACATTTTGTGATAAACTGTAGATGGTCACTGTACCCATGGAATCTGGGTCTTTATCTCGTCTAGGCGGTATCTTACCACATATATCAGTGTGGACATGTACAGCCATATTTAAATTCCAATTCTGGATAAGTGTTTCCCCACATGGTGGTTATGAATGGTGGTCACTTATTAAAACAGTAACCAGGCTCAAACTTGCTTGACTTCGGAGATATGACAAGATCCATTGTATTTTCAGGTGACTTGGTCATAGGCATATATATATTCACATATATAGATATGCATATCAATAGACTGAATGTAATAAGACTGGCACCTAGCCTCAAAAAGTTTAAACGATGGCTTATGTGACCATTTTGTATAGAAACATATTTACTGGAAGAAAATTATATATTACATGAGTCAGCTGAGATATATTTAAAGAATGAAATAAACTATGTTGACGTACTTTGTCTGCTCAGTCCATAGGCATGCAAAAGTGTCATGCAAATACAATATTGGTTATTCAGGATCCTGACATTGAGACCGATCTGGACAAGTTAAAGATGAAGCCTACGCTTGATCGCTCAGAAGAGGCACTCAAAATGTACGAGCAGTTTTTCCCAGAGCTCTTGGACAGTTTTTCGGTGAGTGCGACGTGCCTCAGTGTTTGTACAAAACTCAACACATTCATCAATGTCACTGTGGCCTTAAGAGGAACATTACATGAGGCACCACTGGCAATGCAGTATCATCAAGTAATTTGTTCAGTTTTTGGAACTTCTCTGCAGCCAAAATATTTTTTTCAATTCTCTGAAGTTTAATTGTGGAATACATTATCTTTGTAAATTATTTTTAAAATGTTTTTGTATGCACTTTATTACACTGTTAAACTAATGCTTGTTTCCACACTGTGATCTGTTTATCATTGAAGTACATTTGAGTAACAGTTCAGGATGAGTATCCTTATCAAATTGTGTTGTTTATGTTCACTTGCTTTGATTGCACTCATTTCCTCATCATTTTGCATCCCATCTATAGGACACATTTTCCAAAGTAAATGAAAATATAAATCACCAAAGTGCAAAGAACATGCCCAGCCCCATTGTAATACCAACAGCAAGCAGCAACGACAAGTGCAGTAGCTCAACAGGTAAGGGGCTGCCCATTCAGAACAGCGTGGCATCACCTCTCATTGATGGCGACGACTCAACGCAGAAGCCTCGTTCTGAACCCGGAGCCCAGAAAATGGCAAAAGGCAACAGCTTCAAAGATCCGCAGGGTTGTGGGCACAGTGCCGATTCTCGCGATTTCGTCATCGGATTCAGAGGCTTGTGCTTGGAGGTGTCAGAACAGTCGCTAATCTGCGGGTGCTTGAACGCAAAGGTGTGCATTCACGTAGACGCAAGCAGGTTCGGCGATTTGAAAAAGAACACGCCGGAGCTGAGCGTGAAGGAAGCCAAACGGTTGGAGGGTGCCAACTGGTGTCAAAAGCTAGCTGCATCCAAGAAGGCCCAGGCAAATGTAAAATGTACTGGCGGAGCCCCGACCTCAGCGTCTGTCCAGCGGGATCTGAAGGAGAAGATGATGGGTGGTAAGGAGTCGAGGGACAAGCTGGACCCTTCACACGACAACGAACTTTACTCGCTGCTAGCCAGCAATACCAAATCTGTGGCGGGGTTCAGCAAAATGGCCTTTCCCGACTACTATGGACATATACCCCCTCTGTACAGGGAGCCATCGGTGGAGAGGGAATATGGCGTTCAGAGGTAATTGACTTCATCGGAGTCGTGGCGAAATTCTCACCCCCACAGGAGTAATGATAACACAACCACATAATACAAGACTTATAAAATATATGATTCCGAAATATGCCTGTTGTGCGTTTAAAAAACTCATCTTTATACAATGCAGTGACGATAAAAGTCAAGTGATATCTAATGAATGTTATTATGCAATATAGCAAAAGTAATTTATCTTTCCATTATGTAAATTTGCGTTTTTCCTTTTTAATTCGTATATATTTGGAAGTGTGCCATTTACAGATTGTGGTTGTCACACTGTGTCATTAACATTCAAATGTATTTTTTTCTGAAACTTCTTAATTAAAGGTCCAAGATATTTCAAGACATTGAGCGATTGATTCGCCCTGGTGATATTATAGATCGAGTGGTGTATGACCTTGATATGCCCAGGTAATACTCAGAAACATGGATTTGTTTAATGCTTGCCATTATGTGTACATATTTAAAAGCCTCCGTTGGAAGTAGAGCTTAATGCAGAGCGCTTCCTGTATTGTTTTGACATGTATTTCAGCTTGGTCTCAGAAGATGGAGATTGCCTGAAATTTTGCTCAGAATTTGAGTCTGGAAATCTTCGAAAAGCCATTCATATTCGCAGGTAATTGTCAAAATTTTCGTAATTATGCAAAGCTTATTACCAGTTATTGGAATGAAGCCGGACACGTTTATGATAGCTGAGAACGAGTCCATTAATTAATGAGTAAAGTTGCGCAGCATTTTGGCAATTTAAAAAACTATTTTCATGCTTTTTCCAGACCATTTGTCCACACTGCTGGGTCCCAGATGAGCGACCAGGAAGGGTGCAGGAGAGGGGAGGGAGACAGGGAGCAAGGGAGCACAGATGTAGACAGGTTTAGGGAAAATCAACCATTCAGGAATTTTGGAACCAAAGAAAAAAAAGCTTTGATTATGTTTGATTAAAATTTGGAGTTTCTAATTTTAAGAGTGTTATACATGATCGCCTTTCCACACCTGCAATTAGCACGGTTGTCTACATACGGGGCGAAATAAATTCAACATACATACATACAATGTGTAGAAAATATATAGATTAAATGTGAAATAGTTTTGTTGGCATGTATACATTTGTGTATGGGGAACGTCATGGAAGAGTATATTAGTTTGCTTTTCAAATGGTTAGCTGTATTGAAATCTACAGTGTTATATTGGTCACAGCTGTGAAATGATGTATACAATTTCTGTGAACTAATAATGTAGTCAGGTGAAGGGTGAGAATGGCCACTCGATTGTGCACAAAATATGTTCTTGTCATGTATATATGTTGAACTTCTTTCACACCGTACGTAGCCAACCATGCTAATGGGAGGTGTGGGGGATGGGCAACAAACTACACACAGAAAAATGTAACATGCGTGCTTGATTGCTTTTCTGAGAAGAGTTTCGTTTAATTTATAAAGTAATATTTCATTATTTCTTGTTCATTTTTCATGAATTTTTTGTCATAATTAACATGTTTTTTTCTTTGTTATTTATTGTTTGCCTGCTTGCTTCGCCAATTTAAAGTAGTCACTGCAGAGATGCTCAATTATATGAAACCATCTCATTAAAAATACTTTAAATCACAGATGGTAAGAGCATGTTTTTATTGTTTGGTATTAATAGTACGAAACAAAATATTCTTCACTATTTGCTTTGACGTATGGTTTTGAGTCCTGGACACGGACAAAGTAAAGTAAATAAAAACTTGAAGTATGGAGAGAAGTTTAACACTTCGAAATTCCAATCATGGAGAGAACATATAAATGATAGACATTTTGTTGACTGGTAAGGAAAATAAGTTGGTTTTGGCAAGACACATCGGTAGAACGGATGAAGGCCATGAATGAGATTGGTGATGGAATGACAGCCAATTGAGGGAACCCACCTGAAATGATGAGATGAGCTTACGTGAAGTAGAAAGATAGATGATGCATCACAAGATGATGGCAATAATGTGGTGATGCCTTAATCCAGTGTATAAACCATGGCTGATGATGGTGGTTGGTGGGGAATTTTATTTATTTGAAGTTGTGGACAACAATGCTGTTCATCACATGACATCCTCCTGTTTGTCCAACAGATTCGGGGAGCGCATTGTTCAAGCCAGCTTCTCGTGAATTCAGTTGGCCACCTTAAAATTGAAGCCTCAAATGACACATTGGTCCATTTCCACTGTTGATGCCTTCGATTTATTTGTGCTCCTTCAGATATGAGTATGACCTGATTCTGGACTCGGACATTAACAGCAACCGGCACCATCAGTGGTTCTATTTTGAAGTGAGTGGAATGGAAAGCGGAGTGCCTTACCGCTTCAATATCGTGAACTGCGAGAAGGTCAACAGCCAGTTCAACTATGGTACGTGTTGTAATGTACAGGGGATAGTGAGTGCCATCAGAATGTAGAAATCTTTCTGTCTGAAGCCTTGAACGTCCTTAGCACCTCTGGCATTTAAACCTCTTTGAGAATAAATGGCACCCATCATAAGCAGTTTTTACTGTATGTAGTCTACACAGCACCATGAATCTTCACAAATAGTCCTCAAGTGTTTCACCAAATAAGTTACTTTAGCTTCTATCAACCTCAAGACAAATAATGCTACTGATTTTCAGTAAATTTAAGGAAGAAAGATTTTGTAATTATCAGACTATAAATCATTTTTGACAAGGAGTAATTTCCTATTTTAAAAATATAGTTGTAATTATAATAATGAGATTATGATGTAAAACATTTTGCGGATCACTGGGAATTCAAATGGAAGCACAAGGCTTTTATTGCAATGTAATGCCAGCACAACAAGGCCAAGATCAATATGAATTCTATTTTTAAAAGCAAGTTGAAACTGAACCGTTTGCAGATGATTGACTTACCCACCAAGGGACATTGGGTTCTACAAGTCTGTTTGTCTCTCTGGCTTAAGCACATTTTACTTGCCAGTACAGATGGTCTGCCCACTGACCTGTAGACCCCTTGGGTGCAGGCTTACATGGCAAGAGCAAGGTGCATATATAAGGTGAATTTTAGATGGTTATCATAACCCCAATGCTACTGGATACCCTAAAGCCTCCAGAGGCTAATGGGGGATGTCAGCAGCAACATGGTTATATGACATTGGAAGAGAAAGAATATAAAATCTATATTTTTTTTGCAGGGAAATGTATATAATAAATATATTAGTTTTAAATATTGAATGGTAAAAAGTATGCTATTTTTTATAGTTACCCCAGCAACTCAAAATTTTAATTCAAGCAGTGAATAGTTATTTTTTTTCACTGGTTTTGTAGGTAGGAAACTGATATAATCAGGATATATCTTGTATACGTATACTAGTTTGATGTGTATTAGAATGTGTGTGTGTCCGCATATGTCCTGCAGGTATGCAGCCTGTCATGTATTCAGTACGGGAGGCAATGGCAGGGCGACCTCACTGGACACGGGCCGGCACAGACATCTGCTACTACAAGTACGGTAACTTTATGAGCCGCAGCATAGCTGGCAATTTACTAGCATCACATTTAAGCAGCATTGCATATGGGCAGGCTGTGTGGGCGGTCACATGTTTTGTACCGTGTGTGCTACCTAGGAAAACACAACTTGAAGACAATTACAGGCATTCAATTTACTAACGGTCAAGCGCAGTGTCCAACCACGCCCTTCCCATTGGGGCTCAGCGTTAAAAGTTAATTGGAATAGATTAGGGCCTGGCAAATTCTGAACTGCGGTCTGCATTGATTACCGAATCATTAAACAGGGAAAGCGGCGGTGTGCGTTTCCCACATTGTGGACAGTGGGAATTCAATTGCACGTGTCAAGACCGCACGTTCACGTGCACAAATCACAACTTATCATGTGCAACCGTGTGCCACAAATAACGAGTTACTCAACATCTTATATTCAGGACCTGCCAAAAGACACGTTTTTCAATCGCCAATGTTTTTACACTTATTACAAAAGCCTTTGGTGGAGGAGGTTATTGAATTTACATGATTATGTTCTGTACGTGGTTCGTCCTGATCTCTTTGGTTTTGGAGAAGCAAAAGCAGGCCTTTGTTCCATTATTGAAGTTGAGAGCATTTGTGTGGCAAAATAAAAACTTGTGAACTCATGGTCTTTGACTTAGCCAATTTGAGAAAGCAAGCAGATACCTGGGGTAGAGTTAAGATGTCAAATTTACCATGCAATTTGACTTTTGTAAAATCTATCAAGTTTTTTTGTATATGAAGCATTTTTAACAATGCAGATGTTTATAAAAAATGTTAACAGCATTATTACAATTATTGGAGAGCAATGGAAATGCACCACTAATTTAACTACCTTTTTATTGAAATGTTCCTCCTAATATACTTTTAATTGTTTATGGTTCATATTGTAAATGGTAGTTAACAATTACAAAGCTGTTAAAAAACATCTGTTTAGGTTGTTTTACCCATGTCAGCGCGGAGTCAATATCAGCATAATGGGACACGCTCTGACCTCTTATACTGGGGACTTTTATTTACCGTAATGAAAAATCAATAGGTTTTTTGGGTGAGCATATGGGGTGATGGGTGACCAGTGAGCACAGAGCTGTCTTGCATCGGCTGCACTGGGCGATGAATTAAAGGGGTTATCATTGAGAGAACCGGGTGGCAGAGAACGTGTAGGAAAAAAGCCTTGAGAATAATTAGCGGACAGGGAATAGATGGGGAAGAGTTAAGCACTGCTCTGGAGTCATTGTTCGACCCATCGCTATCTCCTTAGTCAATCGGCCATTTCCTGTGGCCCAAACATATTGATTAGGCTAAGTAGTTCACTTTCGGTGGGCGAGGATGGAGAGCGACTACATAATAGATGGGATTTGAGCATTAATTCAGGTAGAGCCGTAAACAGCCTGGCTGAAGGAAAGATGCATTTTAACTGCTTCTCTTTTCACCTGTTTATTACTGGCAGCATTTGTTATGAGAAAGCACAGTCATAATTTTAATACCACGCCCCATGGATATAGGCGCCTGCGTTATGCTTGTTCTACTTTACGACCATGTTGCATGTTGTGTTCTTGCTGTAATGTTTGCGCATTATTGATTGTGTACACAAGCAAAAAAATCAACGAATGGATACGGAGAGTTTCCATTGACTACGTTAGTAATTTTGGCCCTTTTTAATTGACCACGGAGAGGCACATATAGTAATTTAGTCAGTGTGCTCATTTTCATGTCATGTGATGGAATTTTATAGTCCTATTTTGCGTATTACAAATTTCCCATTGGTGTTTGATGGTTTGTGGTTAACATCTTTTCCAACCGTGTATTGTTAGTCCGTCCTTAAGCTGCCTTAGCTATTTTACACAAGGTGTAATTTCCTTAGAAACATTGACTGACACGTTATTCTATGATGGTATTAAGTGTAACTGAATATTTTGTTTGCCACACAAAAGATCACAAACTTCCTGCATGCTTGTTGACCACACAGCATCAAAGCACTTCATGGCTACCTAAAGTTCTGGGTGGTGTCCGCGGATCGTTAATGCACCACGTATTTTTTTTATTCAGCAGCATTCCTCTACTTACCTTTGTTAATTTTTAAATCCTTTATATTAAGTTCGCTTGCTTGCTTGCGTGCTTGTGTGCTTGCGTGCTTGCTTGCTTGCTTACGACCGTGCAAATCTTTCGGTCGTTTTTTAACCCACTTCCCGTGATCCAATCGAGCTGACATTTTGCACACAGACTCGTTGTGCGAGACAATTAATGTTCGTGAAAAAAATTCCAAAATTTTACACTGTTTAGGGAAAACAAATTAAATATTTAATTACCAATTGCTTAATACTGGCAGACAATCATCTGACCTATAGGTGGCAGCCATCTCAAGCCAGAGGACGAGAGGACTCTAGCCGCCCCGATGCCATGCATATAAAGGATTTATAGTGAAAAACTTTGTTTTTACGGGTTAATTTTTAGTTATCAGTCTTCCACTTTTGTTTGCGAGGGGGGGGGGGGGTTGGGGTCAGTCCCATGCCAATCAATATGTCCAGACTCTTGAGGCTCTGTTCAAGCTGATTCCCCCCAGCAAATTGAGCGTGCCCTCTTAACCTTGCCCCCCCCCCCTGCCCCCCACAGCGCCGTAAAGCATTATAATTCACAAAACTCATTTGAGATTATCGCAGCAGTTAAATGTAATGCCCTGTGCGCATTACTACATGCAATTCATGGTGGTGTAGCCATGGGGGTTTGCATTTAGCTTGCATTACTTATAGCTGAAGTCTGTAATTTATAGGCATGTGATGGCCGTGCCCATTTAAGTCGTGGATTATTTTTTACACAATTGTTAACAAGAATGAAGTGTTCCAGGTAAATTAATAGGTGAACACCACCCAGACCATGAGTAGATTCACTCTGCAGAGATAATGCATGGTGATTTTATGTAAAGGTCGACCACATTTGGTTTAAAATCTCATATCTTACATGCCAATGTTCTGTACTGAAGTGCTTCTGATATTAATTCCTATGGTAAAAAATACTCATACGCCATTAAAATATATACATTGCTATTAATTTAACTTGTACAATATGTTGAAGTGATTTAAAACATATATAAAACAGCAATATTAATATTGTGGCAACTATTTTTTAAATATCAGTTATAGTAGTTAAGCAATATGGAATTAAGATACGCTTTTGGTCAGATTACAATGACGAATTTCAATGATTAAACACAAAGCTTGCCTAAGTACGCTGGTTAATTTACGCATTCAGTTTTGGTTACAAACACATGTTAGAAAACTGAGCCAATCACATTCAACTACGTAGATATGCCAACAGCAGCCAGCAATGCTCTATACCAGATATAGAGAGGGAGTAATCCACTCGATTCAGTACCTGAAGTAGCTCCCAGCACGTGAGGGGAAAAACAGGAGAATCCCTGCTCTGTAGTTTGTGAACATACATTGTGCTTGTTTTCTTATTTGCTGTACTGTATTTTGTTTATCTTTTGTCATTTTGGTGACCCCCAGGTCATTCTTGCAAATTACTAAATCCTCGTCAATTGAGTTCTGACTTTAGGAAAAGCAAAATAAACTTGACATTGCCCCATTTAGCCTTCTTACATCATCTGGTGTGCAGCCTAAGTGATGTGGACCGCGTGACATTAAGTCGTAGGGCGGCTGCATGCGGCTGCCTGCATGTGTCTCCGGTTTTCTCCTCCACATTTGTAAACATGCATTGAGATTATTTAGATTATATTATATAGTGCTATAAATGTCAAAATGATGGGCCACTTTGTTGAGCTATAATTTGTGATGGCCAGGTCGCTTTTAAAAAATAAATTAATACTTTAGTTGAGCTTTGCCTGGTAGGATGGGGATGGTTTAGTTGGATTTGTATGTGTTTTGGCAATTTGTTTACCTTTCGATTTAAAGTTTTCGTGACTGCAAGGATTCATCTTCTTGGTTCTTTCGGTAAAGTCACGTAGAAGGGAAATAATAAAATAATAATAATAAACATTTTAAAAAACATTGGGACGCTGTCTTTCCGACAGCTCTGTTTCTTCACCTGAGGACGGCTGCTTGTGTTGTGGCCGAAACGTCGTGAGATTTTTTTCTTTTATTATGTTTTATTTTTATTATTTTATTATTTCCCTTCTACGTGACTTTACCGAAAGAACCAAGAAGTTGTTTACCTTTCTTGTACTTTGCACTACTATCATGTTTTTGCACTGTTTGTTGTCACGTTCCGACCTGCCTCTACTGGACATCTGTGAAAAGGAACTTTACAGCTCATCAGATGCCTCCAGTATAAATAAATATTCTGATTCTAAAACTGAATAGCTACGGTGTGCTGCTTTTAGGAACAGCTTCTCGCGCAGCTCGGCAGCAGCTGGCGGACAGCGCGGCAAATCCTACTACACTCTGACCTTCACGGTGACCTTCTTTCACAAGGATGACGCCTGCTACTTTGCCTACCACTTCCCTTACACATACACTAGCCTAATGGTGAGCTGTCACCTCTCGCTATGCATGTATTAATTACGTGACATATTACATATTAGACGTGCAATGTGCGAGCCTGCCGCAATTCGTTTTTTGTCAAAGTAACTTAGGCCGAATCCATTATCACAACAAATATGGATCACATTATTGGCTACGAAAACCTATGTTTTGAGTCAACCCTGCTCAAGTTGAGCGTACAGCTTATAGGCATGAGGCACTACAGAGTCTTCGCATACATCGAAATCATATATCTTGGTAATTTTTGTATTTATTTGTGCACAGGTGTGCTCCATGTGATACATTTATAGCTACCCAAAAATATACTGTCTTAGAAAACAATATATATGCTAAATATATACATTAAAAATAATAATAGCATTAATGATTTTACTTTCCCTGAGAGATATGTATAAATACTTACTTCAGAGAGTGGAACAACAAACCAGAATCAAGAACTGGAATAAACTGCCTTTTCACCAAAACTGAAAAACAAACCTAAATAAAAATATTTTTCCAGAATGAAAACCAAAAAATTAGATTTGGTTACCGGTTTTAGCCGGTTCAAAATGTATATTGCACTTTGTAGCTAAGGTGTTAAATTTAAAAATGGCTGTCATCCCTCGGTCAATACAGAAGTTATTGCCTATTATGCATTGAAACATACATATATAAATGTGCTATTCCCCAATGAGTGCTTGTTATATATAATGGGTTCAAGTCACCTCTGCAACCGCTTGAGGTGCTTTCATTTGCCACAATGTTAAAAGAGTAATCCACCGTTGCATTGAATCACGATCCGGAATTGTGACAATTGAATTGCTGTGTGGGAGGGTGGGTGAATCATTCCACCCCTAATTCACACATGTACGTGAGCACGGATGTATCATTCGTATAGTTTTCATGCATAAGCCACCCATTTCTCCTTTTATGGCTGCACAAATACCCGCATTACGTGGTTTTTTTCCCAGAACCTGAGCGGCCCGTTGTTTTTGCTCCGGTAGGTGCACTTGTCAAATCGTACCTAGTGCCCGTAAAAACAAACAAAACAAGAATTGACAATTAAAGTAAAATAGTGTTGTTGAAACAAAGTGCTGTTTTAAAATATTTTACTCTCAACAGGGTGGGTATGTTTATATTTTCTGTAATGCTTTTATTGTGATTTTTCTGCAGGAGATTGTTTTAACATTTGCCTGCATGAATACATGGTGTGCAGCTTACTGTTGTGTTATTTACGATTAGGAGAAAATGGCTAAGGCTCAAGTAGCCATGCTATGGTATCCTGACATAGCTATACATTGAAGACCTTTACATCTTCATGCTAATGTTTTTAGATTTGACCATTAATATTTGTATTTGGCATAGGATCTATATGAAATACTAAGCACAGGAATAACTTGGAGCAGCCATATTCAATTAATATCTTCGACCTCAGTCATAGTTCAAAGGCGCAGTGTGAATAATTGATTGAATATCGACACCAAAAATGGTGGCGTTTTGTAGTTGGAGGTGCCCCTAAAAGGTGGTTTTACTCCGTACTGTACGATGTTTCTGGAAATGATGGTAAAGTTACGAGTAATACAATGCTCCATTAAGTACATGCCCTTACACTTAAAGCCAGCTGGAAATTGTACTGCATTTTCAATTATTTTCAGGCTGTATCCATACAATTCAATTTCAAAGCAATTCTTTTGCTAGGTCCTGTGATTGAATTTCAGTTTTTAGTAAAAATGGCATACCCAGCAATATATCTTTCCTCTATGTGCTCTCTTTATTAAAGATATTTTTTAATACCTAAAACAATTATTTATTAGATTTTGGCCAGTGACCACGTTTAATATTCATCAATGCATAACCTTCAGACAGAATTTTCCAACGGAAGAGGAGAGTTTATGTTTATCTTATAGCCTGATAAGCAGCAGCAGTTAATTAAAAAAAATGAATTTCCACAGTCATGGAGTATATTAGAGGCTGGTCCCGTAGTGGTGAGCGCACTTCGCTATGAATCAGGCGACCTGAGTTCAATTCCCAGTCACGGCTAACATCAGCAGTGAATGATATCGGAAACCAGTCGTGGGCAACCCCCTCTCTTTCACCATCCAGCACGAGCTGGCATGGTAAACTACGGTCAAATAACAGCCGTGCCTGAAACGTCACACGGAGGCCTTCATCCAGCAGTGGATTAGCACAGGGCTGTACAAATAGTATATTGCATATTACAGCATTTCAAAAGGATATCTTCCGTGTCATGAACATCATCACACCTACAAAACATCAGAAGTTTTATTTCGTATATTATTTTTTGGGATAAAAGTTCCGGTACAGAGCACGAGTGGGAAATAAAGGAAAGGAGGCACAGAAATCCCGCTAACAAAAGCCCGAGGCGCGGTACTCGCTCGGCAGGGGAAAGGGAGAGAGATGGGCTCGCTTACCCGACTGACGTAGGGACAACGATCAGGAGAATGGATTTTTTTTGTAAAGTGAAGGGAAGGCTAGGGTAAAAAAGACAAAGGGAGAAACATCAGATATTCCATTTGCACCACATTGCACAACTACATTCGTAGCTGGAATGTGCTGCTGTTTTTTTATATTTTCTCTTTGCTCTTTCCCCCTGATACAGGCTCACCTGCAGGGCCTGGGGGCAGCTTGTGACCAGCGACAGATATACTTTAAGCAGCAGACGTTGTGCCAAAGCATGGGCGGAAACGGGTGCCCTGTGGTCACCATCACAGCCGCCCCACAATCCACCGGCTGGCAGGACATCTACAGGCTCCGTAAGCAGATCCTCAAACAGGGAAATTTAAGCAACTGCTGACGAAGTGTTACTTAATTAATTGTGCCTGTGAATCAATGTTTGTTGTTAATTAGTGTGTTGTATAATTCAAAGAACCTTACGTGTAAGGTGTTTTTTTATGGCCAGTAACCCTATGCAGCTGTAACATGCAATGTAAATGTTCACTCTACTTGTTTACAGTATTACACCCTAACTGTTTATGTACGTACATATTTTGTGATTGTTAATTTATTATTAATGGTTGTTTAATGTTCATATTGATGTAAGATTTACGATGTAAGATATTTTGTGCATTTTGCGTAGTGTTTATTGTTTTATGACATGCATTAATTACCCTTCAGTAATAACAGGCATAAAGAATGGATTGGCTATCATCTTGTTTAACTAAAGGCTATACATACACCTTCAAATTAGCATGGTTGGCTACGTACCATGCGAAAGAAGTCTCAAAAGGGTGGTCAGTAAGTTTTGAAAACAATAACTTGTTTTCACCAAGTTATGGTGAATTGTTTCCACCAAGTTATAGTCAGGCTTTTTTTTGTTTTTTTCAATTATATTCCATTTGTGCAAGGAATCATGGTATGAGATAAATACATTCCTATGTGAACTCTTTCAGAAAGCAGAACATCCCCCCCCCCCTTGTTAGAGAACTGCCTCTGGAAGGTGAGATCACCAAATTGCCTCTGATAACCCTTCAAAACCCTGTTATCTATGAGCACTGCAAATTCTAGCTCACCTTGCTTTGGAGTTGTTCATCACAGCTTGTTCATGTTCTGATGCAGTTTATGGTCACGTCAGTCATTGTCTTTGAGGAAATGTCAAAGCCATGAGGTGCAATGTCTGGATCTCGAATGAGGTTTTTATTCTGGATGGCCGCGCTCTTCCACTGTTCGCCAGGGTTCTTTCTGAGACGGGAGCTTTCTTGCGGCCCATCCGTTACACGTTTTCATGTTATTTTAAACACAACTAATACCGTCATCTCAGCCAAATGGAGGTTGTTAATTGAAATCTAGATATAATCAGTAGGAGGAAGGTGGGGAAAGGAGATAGAGGAAAGTGAAAGATTGAGAGCAATGGGGAGGATAGACGTGGGGATGGAGTGAAAGGGCGACACTTCACATGGCCTCATAGTCCACCTAGCCTGGCACAAGTACTGTGGTGATACCATGAAGTGATTAATGGTGAATGGCGGCTGCTATTGGAGGAGAGGAATATCGAGGGAGTATCAAGGTGGAGAGAGACAGGGCCCTTTTCAAGATTAAATTTTTTACTGGATGGCTGGGAGCAATGGATGGATGTCCAAAGGACACGTAGGTTGCTAGTATATATCAAGAAATATAAAATATTAAAATGTATTGCATATATTTGCATATACTGAATCTGTACAATTAATGTTCAATTCTAAAAATTCTAAAACATTTTTACTGTCATTGTTGAAAAGTATTAAACATGCTGGAGCACTGGCTCCAGTTTTTGTCTAAACTGACACTGGCTTTTAAACGTTCCATTACGCCTGTCGTCTTATCTGGTATGCCTCATGGATATTACTATAAATTGTAGGTGCCACTGCCAGTCTGACAAATTGCAGTGTTCGCTTGAGTCTGATGCCGGGGAGCCTGTAATGTCTATAAAAAATTCATAAGCAAGCCGAAATGCAAAAGGTTATGCCATGATGGCAGTGTGTGCTGGTACGTGTGCCCCTGTAATTTATTACGAACAGAAACACCATTAACATTTTTATTCTTTACATTAATTATGACTGTAAATCTTAATGGTATTATAATGCTTACAAAGTGATGTTGAAATGCATTTAGGTGCATTTTTCATGCAGTTCTCACTTTTATATGTCATTATCCAGATTTCAACAACTTTTAGCATCTATGCAAGCTCTACAACTGCCCATTATGCACAGGCAATTTTCCTCCTGAGATACAGTTCTCTTACTCTTTGCTAGGGTATATATGTGTAACGAGGCTGATAGCTACTGAAGCAGTTGAAAGGAAAGCCAGTTTCCAGCACTTGTATGAGATCTTACAAGCTTGAATTTAAACTATAGTTACTTTGTGATTTGTAATAGACAAAACAAAAACCACACAGTAGCTTGCACATTCTAGTGTAATATTATTTGTGACGCATCACACATGGTCTCCATTAAAATACCAACACATTTGCTAAACCAGAAGTGCTCATATGGCACATCCCATTCGTGGAATAATGTAGATCAAAGCAATTCCCCAAAAAGTTGGCTGTGGAACACCACGAACGAGTACACACATGCATGTTAATCTCACTGCAATTGTGAACCGATTGTGAGTGCTGTTTCCCGGATGTAATAGCTGGCAGCACTTCACAGGCACATTTTCATTCCGATTGTGTGGTTCATTTTCTCGCTGGAAAGCAAGCCCAATCTCGGGCTGACTATACAAAGGGTTAATGGACTGTGGCTTATTGAAAATATGTACTCCCTTCCTCGGACCTTGCTCACACTCTGTACCCTTGTTGCTACTTACAGGGTAATTTGCATACACGCACGCCACTGGGAGTGCAGCTCTTCAGATGACAATGAATGGTGTGGATGATCGAAGAAAGTTGCACCGGCATGAAATTTCCACACATCACCTTGTTTTTAGATATATTACTCTTATTCTTAGGTTTTTTCGGTAAAGTCACGTAGGTAAAACATCAAAAATTAATAAAAATAAAATAAAACAAAAATCACGATGTTTCGGAGGCAACACAAGTCTCCGTCATCAGGTGGGACCGTCACAGCCGGGTTAGCTGCATTATTAATTTTTGATGTTTTACCTACGTGACTTTACCGAAAAAACCTAAGAATATGAATCCTTGCAGTCACGAAAGCTTCAAATCTAGAATATATTACTCTTCTTTTGTGGTCGTCGTTTTCCCGCGTAAAGAACGATGTAGGCTGTGGTAATATGGAACATGTTGTACATTGCGATGCTCCCTATGTGTGCGTGCGTATGTATGTTGTGCATGTGCCTGCGTGTGCATGTGCCTGCGTGCGCGTGTGTGCGTGTGAAGGGAATCGGCCGTATATTTTCCTCACCTCGCGGGTGCATCCCGGCGAGAGCAACTCCAGCTGGGTGATGAAAGGCTCGCTGGAGTTCCTCATGAGTGATGACCCCCTGGCCCAGAGCCTGCGCGAATCGTACATCTTCAAAATTGTCCCCATGCTCAACGCTGACGGGGTCATCAATGGGAGGTGAGATGTCCTAAGTGGTGCAATGCATTTTAGAATATATAACGGGTGGCGTTTCAGGCATTGGCCCTTTGTCATAGCGCATAAGTAGAGGTCAGTTGGAGACTGCTCTATATACCAGAGGGGCCTCATGGTGTAGAGTGCGGACTCTCTGTTTATGTGTTCAGAAGGGATGTTGCCTGAAATGTCGTCTATTAAATATTTTTCCTTTTATGGTAGTTTTATTGACAAAGGTGTCAAGTTTATTGTTATTTGTGCTTGCGCACCACTGCCGGTGCAGTATCACCAAATGATAGGTGCATTATAAAATCCTTTCACCTGTGACAGCGATTTATTTTCATTACTTTTCTGCAATTATATAAATAAACGTAGGTTGCTTTTAGTAGCAGAATGTATAATATAAAGTATTGTTTTCATCGTCATTGATTCTTGTTTGACACTCTGCTTTTTAAAACATCTTCATTTCTGCCCGAGACACTGACTTCAGAAACACAAGTATGTATGCTGTGTCGTTATCGCTATTAGAGTTAATTATCTTGTGATGATCATGCATTGTGCAGACTACAAAAGGTATAATTTCAGAGCAATCGAAAACAATCTTAATATACCATGTCTTATTTCCCACTCGGTCAACAGATCTATTCACGATTTAACAGGGTTTTACATTATGTGCTTCTCCATCCTTTTAACACGTAATGTATCAACATTTTGAGAAGAATATTTGCTGCTTATTGCTATGCCTGAAACATTGTCCATCCATGATTTTTAATTTATCAGGAAAGCTAAAAGAGCCTACGCTGATTAACATGGTTATGCTCCTGTGTGAGTGCATGTAGGTGTAAATGTGTTATTGCATGTTAGTGCATCTATTTGTGCGCATAGTTGCATTGGTGTAAACACAGGCATTGGAAAGTGCATCTATGTGTGTATGTACGTGTAGTGTGCTACTTCAGAGACACTAGTAGGAGGCACTCTCATTTATTCTGGCCTTCACAGCCATAGGGGATAACTACACACTGGGTCAGGACAGCCAACATGCTTCCTGACCCTCAGCTTGAAGAGGTGAAGACTATGACGACGGCAGCATGACGAGTTCCACTCCAGACCACGGCAGCCCCGACTGTGAGTCGGAGGTCGCATTTTATCCTCTATCAGCGTGGCCAGGCTCCGCCCTCAGCCACGCCTTCTTCTGGATTTCCCCAGAAGGCTCCGGGCTTCACCCATGTGTCCCAATGGTAGACCGGGCTGTCACTACATATGTGTTGTGTCAACAATTAAGAGACAGAGTTTCTAGGAGGCACTTTCTTTATTAACAACTTTCACGGTCTCGTCCGCACATTTTCCACAGTTGCTCAGCCTAGCCTGTACATAACACTAGCCGTCTAACACCAACAGCGCTGATTGAGATAACCAACTACTATCCTTCGTAGCGCAATATCTAGCGGAGACGTTTCAGCGACTACGGCGACGAGACGACAGCAACGACGAGACGAGTCCATTCCCAGAACCGGTAGCCTCGAGCTCCCGCTCTCGGCTACTTTTATGCTCCCAGCGCGGCCTGGCTCCGCCCTGACCGCGCCTCCCTTCTCGAACCCGCAAACAGGTTCCTGGGGCATCCAGCTGGGGTTCTCCGTGATCCTTACCCTATTTCCTCCCCTCTGCCAACACACCGTGCACACCCTCACCTGCGTGAGCACTATCTGTCCACCACAGTTGCTGCCGCTGTCCACCAGCCGGCGCTGTTACGCTACGTATGTACTTGCATTGGAAGGCGTGCATGTGGGCTTAAGCGCAAGCATTAAAGTTCGAGCACGTGGGTTTAAGCATTCACACCAAACGCGTATTTTTGATTCTACGTATTTTTATGCATTCCCAGGTGCACATTCCTTCATACTGTTAAATTCAAGAATTAAAACTGAAGTTTCTTAAATAATCTGGCTCACCAGCTTGCTTTGTATTTTTGGACTTTCTATTAGCATTAGTCACGTACAAAGTCGCGTAAATAAAACAAGTGCTTTGACATTGAACGTCAGTGTATATGTTAGAGGATAGTTTATATTATTTATTGAGTACAGGGAAATGGCAGTGTTTATAGTTTCTTTATTTACCCTCTCTTCTGCCTGTACCGAAACTGTTCACTGTCTTGCCTGTGAGACATGTGCAATATGATTTTCGATATATCATGTACCTTCTGAAGGGACAAAAAACAGGACCGATCTGCAATATCTTGCATGACGTGTATATATATATACAAGCACACACAATGTGATTCAAACATGATAGATTTTTGCAAATACACTATACACCTGTAGAGAGTTCACATTCATCAGAAGCCAGATAGGATCCGTAATCACTTCTGAGACATTGCAATTTACAAACCAACACCCGTAAGCTGTTCGAATCAACAACAAAGGAGCCCTTATAGTCGAAGAGAACCCTGTCCTATTTCGTGTGGTGACAGATCCACAAGTAAGCCATTATGTGACCACAGCGAACAAATGAAGCGTTCGCTTCAAGCTCCGCAACACTCTTTAATTAAACAGGAAATGTAAAAGGCAGTGCTGGAGAAAAAGCCTTTGGGTAGAATTTGTTCCAGCCAATGAAAAACTCTTGTGGAGAAACACAGACATCTCAGCATGCTGTCTCTTTCGTAATGCTAGCCTCTGCCAGCACTCTATTCAGAACACTTCCCTAAGAGGTCTCTTATGCTGAAATCATGTGGTTTAGCGCTGACATTCTGCATAAAGCACATGAGCGGCAATCGCACACATGGGTGCGTTTTACTCCATTGTTTTGTAGAAATATGTTGGCCTCACGTTGGCTTCCTAGTCTAAAAAACATTGAGATAAAAAAAACTGCTTGTGAAATGTAGCATTCGCCTACTGCAATTGTGCCGCAAGAAATGTTTTGTTCCATGATATTAACATGGGTTAATATTAAATAGATTACATTAACGCGACTATCACAGAACCACCATGCCACTATCACTAAATTAAGGCTGCCTCTATCACGGGCAATTTAATTAAATGCTCATGCAGGTTAACGGCTGTCGGAATGCTATGCAGAGAGTGGGACCCGCATAGGGTGTTGATGCAAGTGTCTTGCAGGAGAATAATAGCTTAATTGGCAAAATACCACTAATGGAGGGAGACACTATCCCTCTATGGGTGGAATGTGCTCTGCCTTACTGTAGTAGCACTCGGGTGTAGGTGGAGCACTGCAGAAAAGCCAACCCGTGGGGAGACATTTTTAATTGGTATTTATATTATAGATGTGCTCCAGCAGATGTGTTTTTTTTTTACTGGTACGTGATTGCGGTGATATATTTTATTCCATGCCATGGGTCCGATGTTCTACATACACTGCTTTTTATCTTTCATGGCAGGATAAAAAAACGTTGTTTTTAGATACTTTGTATGTCATGTGACATTCTAAAAAGACGGGGGGTTTCTTTATTATGTTTCAGCAAACTCAGCCATCTGCAGTTACCCTTCACAGTTTCAGCTTATCTAAGTCTTGTTGGAAGAGCATAATGACGTATTCACGTTGGTGTATTCATTGTCATGTAGTTGTAGTGATTGACTTCCGAGACACAACGTGTAGAGGGCTTCTTATTTATTTCTCACACTTCAGGTAAATCACTGGGCGACTTATATATATACACGGCTACGCATAGCTGACCCATCGACACAGCCACATCGGCGGCATCTAACTATATAGCTGGCTGACTAATATAGCGACGACGACGATGGTAGCCGTGCAGAGGATCGGCCACGCGGCCGGACGATGAAGAGAGATGACAGCGAAGACAGCGACGGCAGCCCCGAACCTTCGGTCACGTACCCTTTATATACTTCCCAACGTGGGCAGGCCCCGCCTCCTGCCACGCCCCCTTCTAGAACCTTAGGGAAGGTTCCGGAGCTTCCCGACTGACCCCGCCTTTTACCTTTAACCCAGTTACACCCCCTTTCTAGTTGGTTATTCTATAATGCACCCATACTCGTGATTACCCCTCCTGATCAACAGATGGCACCCTGTCATTATATAGTTAATAAATGCTGCTGTTTGAATTTATATTGGATTGCGTTGTAATCAATGTAGTTGCTGCAAAATTACTGCTTTCTGTGTTTCTGGAATTGCAGGCATTGTTTTAGATTTTATTTAATTTCCGATTTAAATTTAAAGCCAGGCAGTGGTGGTGCATGCCTGTAATCCAGCACTGTGGATGCGAGGGTTAATGAAACACTGCACAAATGTTGCAAAATCCTTTCCCGTGGACATCGAGGTGCCATCCATACCCTGACTTGCTTGAAGAAAGTGGTAAAGCAAAGTGAAGATTGATATCATCTGTCCATTCTATATGGGATAGAGTGTTGCCCCCTCGCACGTGTGGGTTTTCTGCGGGTGCTTCAGTTTCCTTCCACGTGTATCAACACTCACGAATTGGCTGAAAACATCTTAATGCACAGAGGACTGCAGAGCTTTGGGTAATTGTTGGCACCAGCTCACAGCCTGGCTGCCTTCAAGTTATGCCTGTGGTTCCACGCTTGTGAAATGCAATTTGTATGAACTACGATATATAAAACGAAATAAACATTTTGATTATTTAGATATTCCAGACATCTATATCACTTCATATAAGTGATTCCAGAAAGGCTCTGAGAAAGCCATCATGCAGTCATATATTAATTTTGTCATGTTTACACATGCATTTACTGTATTTTACACATATCTCAATTTACTAACGTCCTGAAATATAATTTTATTAAAATTTTCAGAAATAGTTGTTTTACTTGGTAAATGTTTAATATTCGTAATATTATTGCTAGTAGGGGTGCCACAATGTATCAATTCACGTAATTATATAAGCTCGCATTGAATACATCAAATCTCAATTAGTTATGGCATTAAATTGTGACCCTGAATCGCGACAATTCCTAAATCGCCTGGGCTGGGGTGGGTGGAGGCGAGGGAGCTGAATTGTTCCTCCCCTATTTTTTTTTATACCAATGTGTCCATGGTGTGCAATGCGCTGGCCTTCATTACAGAGGAGATATGCATCAAAACGTGGTTCTGCATGAGTGAATGAGATCAAGTGTGTTTACGATGCCGGCTTAATCGCCGCAATGGTGTTAGTTCCACCGTTGTGTGTGTGAAGTCCCGCTGTTGACAGCGGTTGTGTTTGTTCAGCTACCGCTGCTCTCTGGGTGGAGAGGATCTCAATCGACAGTGGTCCAGCCCAGACCCCGAGCTGCATCCGACCATCTTTCACACGAAAGGGCTCCTGCAGTACTTGGCTAGCATAGCCCACACTCCGCTGGTGAGGATGAAATTAATCCGCCGATTCTCCATCTATTTAGTTATTTATTTTCTATCTTTGTTTAATTATGATCGTTGTTTTAATTTTCAAATGGTCACAATTTTCTACGCAAATGATCACTTTGTAAAATGTAAACCATGCACTATTTCATGATTTGTGGTTTCTCTCTAATGGCATGTTGCCTCGGGCTGTTCTAAGTTCTGAGTATTAAAGAAGACTTTGCATGTCTTATGAACAAATATTATTCCATGCAGAGAAGTATGAATAGTTATGTTTACAGAACGTTAGATGTATTTTTTAAGTCATATATAGACTGAATATATAAACATTCACGAAAGGCAATACAATATAGCGTTCTCGCTTAGACCTGAAATATTTCATCAAAAGCTCAAGTTTATCCGTCTGACAGTTGGGGTAGAATTTCCACAGTCTTGGCAAATGCATGCAAAGGCAGCAGACACGAACCCAATACATTTATAGGCAGGATGTAATGTCAGTTAAGTCAGAGATTGAACTCCCGGTACCCTAGCACTAGCAGTGAGGGATAAAAAGCCATTATTGGCACGTGAGAGCGTGACTAATAATTTAGATTTCCATCTTCATAGAGTGCAGCTTTGCAAGTCTTTGAAACAGATGTCTCGTGAAATCTGTGATGACGGAGCTGAATGGCTTCCAAGTAAACACTTGCAAGTTTTTTATGCGGGATTATTTTGCATTATTCACATGAGCGGTTTCAGCAAAATAATAAAGCAATTGTTCAGTTCCTGTTGAGATTTTAAAGTCACAACACGTATTACATAAACCACGTGCTAAATGAGAGAGTGTAAAATGTCATGTTTATAAAAAAAACGGCCATTCAAACATAAATGAAAGTCAAAAGTATTAAAAGGAGTTATTGCACAAAGGAAAGGAAAACTTGCCTGGAAAGATTTTGCTTTTATAATCTTGGCTCAAACATGCATAGCATTTAGCGGTTTGATTAATGAGACTTGGCATGCAATGGATCGTTTGGCAATAGGATTGCTGATGTTTTAAACTTCATCTCCAAATTTTTGCCGTAGTTGCAGCCAGACTCATGAAAGTTACCGGGGGACTGACTTTCCAGTGACACTTTCACTGGAAACACCAACACCTCAGTTAGATGTACCCAAATACAGTTTGATGTGCACATAGTTTATAAAGCCGAGTATTTAAAAGCAATTGTTTTTTAAGGTTTCAATGGGTCTGTGCATTTTTGCTACTTTTACGAGAAGCCTATTGTGTTTTCAGTCATCTATAACTCTGTAATTTTTTTAGTAAAGTTAACAAATAAAAGCAGTGATCCATGTAATTTTTTTTACATAAAAACATTGTTTTGACTATGTAAACCTAACTTTTTTTGGCAAATAACAGCAGCTTATAGGAAAAATAACTGGTGTTAGAGCCTATCAGACTATCAACGTCCTTACATTATGGATACACTGTGTACGAGTCCAGTGTTACCACTTCAGAAAGCTTCTTTTAGCTGGTGGGTGAGCATACATGCCATACATAGGCTCCTGTGTTGTTGGATGTAGTGACACATGTCTGTAATTCAGCACTTCAAAGGCCAGGATGGTGCATCACATTTTATTGTGTTATACTCTTAAAACTGTGAGTTGATTCTGGGATGACTGCGTAAAATTGGTTCTTAATTTGTTTGTGTGGACCTCTGTTATCCCCTCCTACGTGTAGGTTTCTTCTGGGTACTCTGTTTTCTTTCACAATCAAGTACTCATTAAAACAGATTGGCCCATCATTCTGTATAATGCATGGGTCTCCTGAAAATGTTCAGAGACTCATTGACTCTTCTGAAGATAAAAATGACATTTATTCAGAATATCCACGTACATGTTTGAACACAGGCAAGCTGATGATCACTTTGCTTGCTCAAGAGTAATTTCACGTGGAATAATGTGCTTGTTTTACACCCCATGGGCAGGTTTACTGTGACTACCATGGCCACTCGAGGAAGAAGAATGTCTTCTTGTATGGCTGCAGCATGAAGGAGACCATCTGGCAAACTGCTGCTGAGGCCAAAGCATCTTCTGTCTACGAGGATTTAAGCTACAGGGTAGGCGTGCCACACACAGCGGTGTCTAGGTTGAGTGCAAATGCTTGCATTTGGCAAAAGGGTGGGCTTTTGGATTAATTAAGATCCTGCATAATAACCATATTGAATGTCTTTGTATGTATGTACAAGTATTGTGCGTGCTTTTAGTTAGGGATTGTTGACATAAGAGTTGCTTGTGGTACAATGAAGTAAATCTTTTCAGAGAAATAATTCTGGTCATATACATGTAACAATTATACGGACATGTCTGAGATTTTCATGATTAAATTAGCTCGACGATATAAAATCTATCCTAGGCAAGATGTCAGTGCTTAACTAGACTACATATAAAAAACGATAAACGGCATTGAGGATAATGATGTAAGATAAATAATAAATATATAAATGAGTCATGTCAAATTATACATGCACAATTGATTACATAGCTCCATACAGTTCTTGCTTTTATTCTCAATATCAACGGTATGCATGGGTTCATGGTTACATTTAAAATGTTAGTCAATTGGAGGTACAGATAATTATAGACTGTAATGCCTAGTGTCTATGGGTCACATCTAAGAATTGTGAATGACCGTGTGGCAACGACTGTCATCAACAGCCCACTGCATCTTCATGTGTAGGGCCAAAGAATAATGCATATAACAGTCCACAGTTGAGCTCTGAAATTATTCCTATTGAAATACGTTATGTGCTGTACCTAGCGATGTGAAAGTAGGTAAGTAAATATCTTGCCATCCTCACTTCGGATGTACACTTGTTGGAAACCAGCCACTGCATGGTTTTTAGTCCGGTCATCACATTGCCATTTAATGAATTGTTTTGTAAAACCAAATCTTAACGCAGGTAATTCAATGATATGTACACGGGCAAAAATTAAGATTTGTTAATTGTTGTAACATTGTAATAGTTCAGTAGAAATGACCGATTTCCAACCGGAATCCCCTGAACAAAGCGAAACGACACAACACACGTTGCAATTCACGTCAAGATTGCTTCATTGCCTCAATGCCAATTTAAATGGCATTACACCAGTTGCTGTTTCAGGTTGTTTCAGCAGATTGACTTTTCTGTGGGGAATTGCAGTTTGCAACGCTCTTTTGGGTGACTTCTTAATGAATACAAAATAAACAACTTCTTAAATCACAACTGAAATCCACTAGAGAAAAACTGAGCTAATTTGCTTCACCATGCACATTTAAAAGCTATTCCTTGTTGTCGTGTCAGCGTTTTCTTATTGCTTAGAGAATTATTATCCAAACAATGCATCCTAAACAAACATCCTTCCTTTCTATATGCATGGCACCCTGTGTTGTGGCACCCTGTTTTGTGGCACCCTGTTTTGTGTCGCATTTATCACTAATGGTGTGCGAAGTGATTTGGTAAAAAAACATCTGGAGTGTTGCCTTTATAATTGCAATTTGAGGTTAGGCTTGTGTGTACTTTTACTATTTATACATCTGCTATCTGAATCCTCTCAGTCTAGCGCAGCATATTATATATTTATTTTTTCTTATAAGGTTTATGCGTGTCCACCGGGCAAATATCTACTAAATATAATTGTTTAAAGATAAATTGTTGCTTTTATTTTTGCTAACATAAAAGCTAACAATTTGGAAAACTTAATTTGTCAATAATGTTGCATTGTCATTGTTTACTTTTGGATTTTTGCCAGTCTGTTTTGTATGCTTTACATGTGAACAGCAGTCAAACTACCATAAAAAAAAATCTATTTTATTTCAAGAAAGTGGAAATATGTAAATTGCCATAGAGTCGAATCTGCTTATAATGTGTGGTGGGTTTTCAAACTACATTACATTAAATTGAATTGGCTATTACCAGAATTAAAGCTGACTTGAAATACCCATGCTCTTTATCACCCCACACATGCCATTTAACAATGATGAACCTATTGTGCACAGTCTGGAAGAAAAAAATGATGACACTGACTTTCGTGCAAAAAGCAACTTGATCACGGTCAGAATTGTCACTCGTTCATCATGAGATTGGCGTTGGGGTCATGCTTTTGCTACATTTCTGCGTGACTCGTCTTAGTGGCTGAGTGGCTCAACTGTATCACTTATCGGGGTTAATAGAGTATGGATGCCATGTCGCCACATGACATTAAGTGTGGGACGATGCAAATTGCAGTGCTGTCAAAAGGTTTCTCTGAGAGCCTTAATGATGGTGTGCCACCATCACCGCCACCAATACTGCTTTTCCCGTTGCATGTACAGACCTTGCCGAGGATCCTGCACCAGATTGCGCCCGCGTTCTGCCTGAGCAGCTGCAACTTCGTGGTGGAGAAGTCCAAGGCATCCACGGCGCGGGTCGTGGTGTGGAGGGACATCGGTGTGCTGCGTAGCTACACAATGGAGAGCACCTATTGTGGCTGTGACCAGGGCATCTACAAGGTACCTGTGCGTGCCAGGGAGGGGTCACATTGGTGGTACCTGGAATTCAGTTCCATAGAGATATGGTATTTTTTTTCACTTCAATTATGCATTTATGTGCAAGAAACCATCATTGTAATGACCACTTTGACCTATTTTTTCCCTTCATTTGACTATACAGTAAAACCTTGGATTGCGAGCATAATTCGTTCTGGAAACGTGTTTGCAATCCAAAGCACTCATATATCAAAGCACTCGTATATCAGTTGTGATCACGTGACACTAGGCAGACAAAGCGTATACACGTACTACTCATTGCAAGACCTCGCTCGTTTATCAAATTAATATTTTAAAATTTTGCTCGTCTTGCAAAACACTCGCAGACCAAGTTACTCGCAATCCAAGGTTTTACTGTATACGCCTATTAGTATCCCGATCGTCACAAGTGAAACTGATGAAAAAAGGGAAAATTTTCAAATATCATTATTTAGCTTACCTTGTTCCTTCCGATTCCTATGGCATGATACAAATCTGTTGATTTGGGGGTTTGAAAAGTTATGCATTTCTGGACTATTGGCAAACCTGTTATTTTAAATATGTGGCCATCATGTTCAACCAATGTATTGTTTGGTATCTATAGTGACCAAGGGCATGAAGCCCTGATCGATTGTCTTCATAGTACATATTCAATGTGCAACACATAGGTATGGCAAGATAGTCATTGGCATGACATTGCAGTTGTAACACCATGTTTAATCCCGTTGATGACAATGCGGAATTAATAATGTCATGTCACAGATTAAATTGCTTCATACCAATGTTGTGTATATTGAGCTGCTATGTAAAAATAAACCACAATTGTATGTGGGCGAACACATGTTTGTAAGCAGGACAATTGGGAAATATCGCTTTAAACTTGACATGGTGTTTATAATTGGAAACAGTTGCCAGAGAGCGTGCAGGGATAGAAATTTAATTTCTAGTGTGTAAAAAGAGGTCAAATTACTCCATGCACTGCTCAGGCCCTGGGAAATGTTCAAGTGAAATCAACAACGGCTTGGAATACGTCCTCTCCTTGTTGTTTTTTAAGTGTAAGAGAAAAAATAAGCTTCAGTAATTAAAGTGTTTAAAAGGCATCCTGAGCAACAAATCACTTGGCTACAAAAAAGGGAGGGTGAAGAGGGGGCAAAATAAAGAAGAAGAAAAAAAGCAAGAAGAAAAATCCAACAGCAATGATAATTGCACACTTTAACGAAACCAAGTCCAAAACCTAATCCCGAGTAAAGTCTTGGTTCATAACAGGGCGGGCGGGCGTGCGTGCGTGAATGGTGCCAGGGAAGCCAGATGGGTTCCCAGGAGCTGGAAGAGATGGGAGCCAAGTTCTGCGTGGCTCTGCTTCGTCTCAAGAGCTCTCTCGCCCCGGCTGAGAGTTTGCTGCTGCCCCCGCGTGGGGCCTGGGCCGGACCTGACCCCGACACCATCGAGACTGTGTACAAGCCCTCACGGTAAGCCACACGCCCCGGTCCACCGGGGTCAGAATGCGTTAATTTCTGCTGACAATGTCGTATGGGGGACTAGCAACATTTTAGAGTGATGTTCAGTTTTTATGTCAAATCAAATTGCTTTGGAAGATGCGATGTGATTTCAGAGATGTTTCTGCGATTGTGGCTTATATGTTTTTTACGCACGCTTGAAGTGCAGTGACTCAGGTGTAGAGTTGTGAAATTATTTATAAATGGAGCCATCATGATAAGGGATTGTCTTGGGTGTAAAGGATTCACCTAGTGTTTTAATGACTTGTCGCAATTCAATTCAAGGATCAATCCTAGTTTAAACGTTGCGGTGAATGCTCACGCCTTTGTTGGTCGCAGGATTAGTGTGAAGTCCATAGCATGCAAATATAAATGTTGATTCTTACACACACAGTTTGATGCATGTTTCGTAAGCTTCTGAGTCTATAGTAATCGATGATTCAATGTTTGTTCCACCTCTATTGGACCCCATCAAAATGTACTATCCCTTTTGTGGCAATTTCTTTGATGAAGTCCTTGACATTCATTTGTTGGCTTGAAGGATTTTGGAATTCCTCATTAATATAGCCTGGTTGCATTCACACTCAGGGAACATACTTCTCAAGGGCACCGTGGGACGCTTGCTGAATGTATTTTTCTTTTTGCTACTTGTATTGTTGAGAGAAGACAGCATGACATCACCCCCGCTTATTCATGGCAAATAATAATGAGGTTGTTATTGTGGGGGGGGGGGGGGGGGGGGCAGGGCACCATTGAAACAAGTTGCACAGAAACACTCGACATCACTCACTTGGGATTATACATCGCAATCACAGGCCCCTACTTGCAGATTAATGCCCGTTTGCCGGCCAGGTGCGAAGCTACCTTGTGCCCACAGCCACAGCCACCACTGTGGGTGCTCATTCAAGTGTGTTGCGATGAGATGTAATGTGCAGCGCACCTGAGATGCCCCTGCGTAATTGGTGCTATATTTAAAACAAATAATACATTTATGATCATTATCACATTGTGCATCAATCACTCAGTACTCTGTCTGTATATTAGATGATAACCCATTGAAAATCATGACTTATTTACAAGGGAGACAGAGCTGACTAAGAGCAGTTACTTAGGAAGCAGTTAATATTCTGCATTTTATTTGTGGGTAATTCTATAATATAAGTAGGCTTTGACGGTGGCACACAAATTGCATATTCACTTGAGTAATGACACTTTTTTTTAAATGTCCAAAGCATAGCCGATGGCAAGCCCTGGTCATTTCTCACAGACATTCCTGGGCATCTGCAGGAATCAAATTGTCAATTGCGTGCAAACTGGATCAGTGGTGAAAGCTATAACCTCCTGGCCACCCTGGCACTCCTGATGTTGGACAATTACTCATGGCAGATTTAAACCTGCTGTCTTATATAAATAATGGCATCACCAGTTCAAAGCACCTGCACGTGCCGTTTCGAGTTTGAGCATTGAGACCTGTGTTGTGAATCACAAGAAAACAAATGGTGGTGATGACCAGTTACCAACATTAACCCTATCTTCTCATATAAAAGCATGAGCTACAAGGTTGTGTGGATTGTTACGGTGTCTTAACAATCCCGTACGTGCATCTGTGTTGTGCACGTGCGTGTGTGTATATATATATGTTTGGATGCATGTGGGAGCAGTGGTTTTATTGCGCTGCACTACAAATCTGGCTGCCTGGGTTCAAATCCTATTCACGCGTTAACATGAGTGGCAAGTGATATCTGGATTGATCTTGGGCCTCCTCCAGGTCGACGCAGCCTTAAACGAGTCCCCGGCGCGACACATAGAACATACACACTGGGGAGACAAAGGCGGCCTGGCATGGTGTTGGCCACACGAACTCCCTCACGTGCTGTGCCGGGCTTCATACTTGCATGCTAACCGCACTTGCCTCAACAGTCTCTTCAAAGGCTACGCAGGGTGTATGTGTGTGTGCAGGAGTGAGTGGGCTCCTCTGGAAGCCTTACTTTTCCGTGAAGAAGGACCATTGCTTGAATCATTTCCTATTACATATATACACAAAAATCAATTTCAAGCAGTGTCATTGATGGTTGTGCATTGAGTTTTTGTTAATGGCCACATGGGGGGTTGGTGGTGGTGGTTCCGTGTCCCTGCGCATGCTGGTGAGCAGGTTGTTCTCGCTGGAGGATGAGCCGCGCTTCGCCGAGGAGATCGACTACAGCGCCGAGAGCCTGGACGAGCAGGAAGGCGGAGAGGACGATGTCGCCGCCGCCGCTGCTGCTGCGCCAGACGATAGTGACGAGAACCGGTCACCACACTTGCTCACCGGTCGCAGGGAGTACTTATAGAGGCGTGGCGGGTTCACGACCCCTCGGTCACTCTGCGGTGCTGGGGGTGGGGGGTGGTGGCTGGCTGTCTTGCTCCATAAAGAAAGCCGCAGCCGAGGTTTATTTATAAAATTGGTTAATGTTGCTTGGTTCGTAAGTTTATATTTTATTAAGGAAATTATTGTAATTTTTTTTATGTGTCCAGAACATCATTAAAAGCAAGAAATGTGTGCTTACAGGGTAATGCAGAAAAATTACAGTTTCAGGTTCATTGTAAAATTCTAATATATTTTGCTAACTCATATAATTGAAATATACTCATGTTATTGATTGCATCATCTAAAAAATAGGATGCACAATAATGGTGTTGAGACAAAGTAAATACAACTGACACTAAGCCACAACGGTGGCTTTTTACAGAGCATTAACAAGAAAGACTGGGCCACATTATGATCATTACAATTATTTCCATAGTAAAATGTTGTTCACATCTACAAGCAGTAATTGGAATGAGATACTGTACTTCAAAAAATATTTGGCAACATGTGCAGAGTGTGGGCCCGAGAGCTGTGCATGACAGTGCTTTAAAATCCCATCTCGTGCCTCTGGAGAATGCACTAAAAGGAGCATAGTGCTGTCATGTATAGAGACGTGCGCTAACGACAACTGAATCTCACTAAAAGAGGTTAGTGTATCCGAGACATTTTAAAACAGATGCCACTTGAAGCAAATTGCAAATAATGTGCATCAGACAAGCGGCCCTCAGAATTTGCCACTCAAAACCAAATCTGTAAAGCAATGGGGCACATTTCCAAGACATAAATGGTACGTTTTAAGTCATTGAGGAAACTTTGACAGGTGTATAGATGGTTTCATGCTTGCTTTAATTGCCATAATATGCTGTACATGGAGGCTGTAAGCATCCCAGAAATATAAAGTTAAAAGTACATAACCGTCTTCTTGCCAAAATATATTTACAAACCAAATGAAGGGAAGGAGGAGCAAATAATTTTTTGTTCATGCTTCACTGAACATGAAATAACGTGGTTGTGCATGCTGAGAAAAGCATACAAATGAGAGGCATATCTTTATAGAAAATGTCCAATTTAAGAGAGATAGCGGAAGTCACTGAAGCCTTTAAATCATACGCAGGTTAATGCTCATTAAAATCTTCAAATTAATAAGAACCTACAGGCTTGGATGAAACGGATCCACATGAACACACAATAATTGCACCAATAGTGCATTTGCCATTCCCTGCACATCACTCGATGGCAAGGCAAGTTTATGATGACTATGATTCATCCTTTACATTAAGTTGAAATGGAATACTTTTGGTCAATAGCACTTTGTGCGAGGCGCATGCGGCACGCTAGCCCAGGGTACTCGTATGTCCCAGTAAAGATTCTTTATTTTGCATGGTGTCCTCATCTTGCCAGCTGCCCAAATGTTCAAAGCTCCAGGCAGCTGCGTACAAATCAACACCATATGAGGGTGCGCCCTAATTTATGGAGCAGGCACGTCATTCGTGACTGCAGCCCTTGCAGTGGGATGAAAGCAATCGTATAATTATAGTGGAAGTGTTACCTGCCGAGCACCAGACATGGAAAACAATTTAAAGTTGTGTGATTTTGGCAGGCAATCAATACTTTTAGCAAGATTAAATTGAGCTCTATGCAGACACACACACACACGTGTTGTATTTACAAATTTTCGTACAACTTTTGCGCACACCGTTCACTCACTTGAGCCTCTGTTGCGCCATGCAATCTCTTTACGTGGAAATATGAAGTAATATTTGTCCATTTTTCTTTTTATCTTCTCCTGAATTCTCCTAGGAGGTTTCCGTTGGCTGTGCTAATGCTGGAAATCTGCCGTGAGAAAGGAATGGAATGTTTAGTGCAGCTGTAGCCCTCCTTGTAAAGCGTTTCCACTCAAAGCGTCATGACCATCAGTTCATTACTGCCGCCCATGGCAAAAGGCTCGTGCACATCTGCTCATTTTTTTACGAGGATGCTTGCAGACGGCTAAATGACAGCTCTTGAAACCACTTTCCTTACATTACTTGACCTGACCTTATTTGTTGTTATGCTTAGGGTCTGTAACTAATTTAACATTGAATGTTCTTGAGTCAATTTTTATGTCGACAACCAAAAACTCACATATTACTGCACTTTGTATGCATTCATGTTATCAAAACCGCAAAGTTGGGGGATGGTAAATATTTTAAAAAACACATGCATGGTAACAAATAGTGTATTAGATAGTCTATGCTACAGGCAACGAGAGACTTTTTAAAGTCCAATTACATGATTCAGAATTTAGTAATTCATATTTTTTCTTGAGGGAATATGCAATATTATAGATTGCCCAGTGGCTCATGTGCTATCTATCATTCCCCGTATTTTTGGTTTGATTGTAGCCCTCCATAGGGAAGATAAATATTTTTACTTGGTCTCTGTTTTGACGTGGTTCTCCCCCGCACTGGAGCCGAGTCCGATGTTACACCTGGTACCACATCTGTTCACACGAGACAGCTCTGTTCTTTATAACCTCAGAGGCAGTAAGGGTAGGGTACACCGCTGCCTCTTTGCATTATCTTTGCTTTCTCCCAACGTCGGAAAAAGTTGGGGAAAGTAGGTAGCACATTTCCAAGCAACACTTGCATTTACAGCCAAATTTGGCATCTGTCTGTGACTGCCACCATAATCAAATTCTTGTTATTCTCATTAAATGAGTCATGTAAAACGAGAGCTGGGGGCAATTATTTATTTACCTACTTATTTACCTATTTATCAACTTTTTCGTTAAGTGGTTGACATTTTTGCACCCGCATTTGGAGGTTTGTGGTGCAATGTGTTTCTATGTTCTGCAGATTTACAAAAGGAATGCACCGGTCGGTATTCACAGATACAGCTCGATTCAATGTCGCGTGTGAAAAATAACATGCAGTTACCCCCTGGTGTTAGCAGAGATACCGTTTTCACAACTTTGGAACTGAAACTACCATAATTAGGCAAATAAATATATGGGCTAACAACTTGAACTTGAGGCTAGACGATCCCGGGCCAATGCTTATAGTGGCACAGCACTCAAGCGTAAACCCACGCGAGAGAGTTGGGGTCTCACTCCAGTTGCCTAACTTTGGCCGAACGGTTCTGTACTTTGTGCCCAGCTATCTGCTGCAGGTTTCTAACAACCACCAACGGTAGCATTGTCATTCACTAACTTTTGTATATATCGTGTTTGCAGCAATGTCTGCCTTTGCCGCTGTAAAATGCACAACATTCGAGGGCATTTGATGATGTAAAGTAAGTTCGGTATGGTTAATGTCGATAGTTGTGTAGTTGTATGTGGAGGAAAATTGTGGGCTTCTAATCCCTGTTGCAGGGATGCAAGGTGGTATGCAAGCAATCACATGTGTTGGATGGGTCACTTAAATAACCCTGGTTGTTTCCCTCCTCTGTTCTGTAAGCACCAACTTTAGAGCAACTTTGTTTGGAGTCCAGATGTACTAGTGTGAGCTCAAGCAAGGTGATGGACAATTGATCTGCGTTTAACATTCATGCATCAGTCGTTTGAGTCAGATTTCCTTATAACATTCTGTACTGGTCAGTGGTAACTTCTGATTCGAAAGAACGTTAACACCGCTGTTGCAAATGTATGTATTGCATTTTTATTCAAACACGATGGTGGATGGTTCGGTTCATTTCTTATGGTTTTGATTTAGAAACCCTTGGTAAGGTCATTCAAACATTTATCTGTAAAGCATGTGTAAAACTTGGAATACACACACATTATATATCCTATCATTGAAACTCAAAAACTTTCATAATATCAGAAATATGCAAATATTGTCAATCTCAAACCATGGTATTAATTCCTTGCTGCTAAATATATTTGCATGCCATTTACCATGCTTTAAATTTAATCAGAATGTGATATTTAGGTTTGTCACATCTGTAAAAACGGTTGTGTTAATTGAGTTTTGTATTTTCTTGCACACGGTTGCGTCAAGAGACGAGACAAAATTACCATCGGCTGATAAATCGTGAAACGATCTGTTTTTCCCTAGTTACACTGACATTTGTTTTTTTCTGTGTTGTCATAATAAATGCAGAGAATTTCACGATGAAAATGCATGTATACAAGATGAGTAATTCTCCACCTATTGGTTGTAAAACATTCACAGCTTGGTCAAGTTGCTTGGTGGCAGCCGTTAGCTTTAAATTACCTGCTGTGGTGTTACAGCCATTAATTTCACGGTGTCTAATTCATCAGCAGCAGCAGCCTTTCATTTTCGAAGAGATTTTTTAATTTACATTTTTTTTATATCGGATCAAAAATGTTCTCGTGTCTTTGATATGTTCTGTGCAAATGAGTTGTGCTTCAATAAGGTACAACAAAAGTGGTCTTTTTATTTTTTATTTATTTATTGAATACCTTTTACTCTTACAGCAACCAAAATATTGTGGCTCTGTATCACGCGGGCCACATTAATGGGAAAGCAAGACAGGGGCGGTACTTTATAATTTAGCATTGATGAATAAAACATCAAAATATGAGTAAACGTCAATATCATAATTGTATATGTTGTCTATAGACGCGGTGCCAATTATTTTGTGTATACAACTTTTGCATGGTTGCATGACCTTTAAAAAAATGTTTAGTTCAGCTAACTCAAAACAACCTGTTCTTTGAATACAGAATTGTATCTTTCGTCACCCTAAACCGTATTTTTGTTCACGATCAAAGGTTCCATGAGATGCTGGATAATTATACCCAAAGTTGGAAATTTAAGAGCAGGTAATGTCAGAAACTCGTTTTTTGGCAGTTTGTGATGATTATTTACAATAAATATTTAGTTTTTGTTTAATGATTACATATATACACGTAAGTTTATGAGGAGATAACTTTTGAGTGCCTCGTATCTGGCCAATTATACTGTTTTTCTCCTCTCCTGCTTTGTGCCCGAGTTAAGTTTACCGTCTAAAAAAAACGCATCTTAATTTATGTTCTTACTATAATGCATGCTATTGCAATGCAGGATTGGTGATTCAGTGTTATTCTCGCAGCCGTATAGTAACGTTTTCAGAATTGTAGGTCTTGTTAAAATCTCATCTACAGACTGCAGTTGCCTGTAAAAGAACACCTAGACATGTCCAATAATATTGGCTCTTACAAGCTTCCCAGTGCAGTGCTTTTGTTGTAATCGTGCTTTTGCTATTCACGAAGCAATCCTTAAAAAGTTTTTTTTGGGTTAGATCGTGTAAATTTACGTGCTCTCACCCAAAAAAAAACCTCATTTGGAATGCTTCATGAATGGATAATATTGGTTTTGAAAGCATACGTGTTCATGAAGTAGTGTTCTTCCAACCGGTTATATTGGAGTGTCCCTCACACAGGGTGGTTGTTGAATTCCACGGATGTAATTTTACGTTTTTGTTCATGTAAAATGTGTTCAAAGCAACCATATTCACCACATTGTAGGTGTATGTTGACGGATGACATGCAATACTCTGGTCCTTGTGAACCCTCGGTAAATGGCTAAAATGTCCCACATGTAGGGCACAGACTCCGTCTCCAGCAGAGCTCATGCCTTCACAAGTCACGTCGGTGCTGACCCCTTGATTGTTATAAACGCTGGATATGTTGCATGCACTCGTGGATTTTTATTCTCCCCTTTTATACTGTCATGTGGATTCTTTCTACATACAGTTGTGTACATACTTCGCTGTTGATCCGTTAAGTGCTGTATTTTGAGTTTTCGTACAGCCATATGTTATGGCAGATCACAAATTGTAATGCTGCACAGCTTATCATTTGCCTGTGTTTCAGTAATTAATCTCGTGCTCAATAAAATATATGAAAAATTGTTGCATGCTGTAGTAACACATTTATTTGCGCATTATGCATTGCTCCAGAATTGCTTAAAATCTAAGCGGTTAATCCATCAACAGCAATCTATATGCGTAATATTACTAACTTGGGCAATGGACTATGCATTTTATTATATTATAAATGCGGCGGCTGCTTCGGGATATTAAACATGCATTGTCACATGACTAGATGACATGTTTTTAATGATGGATCATAGTTACCTTTTGCAAAACTCTTTTCTTGATAGCTTACGAATAGCTTACGAATGAGAACACTATGAAGTTGTAACAAGAGCAAGATAACTGGTATCATTCATGTTTGCCAAGTTCGGTAAACATACTTAATTGCATTTTTCCATTTAACCTGTAAGCTCCACAACACTGATGCTGATGTTAAAATTAAGGTACAAATACCACGCTCAATTTGACGAGCCATTTTGAAAGCTTGATCTCGTTATGGGACTGTCACGGTTCAGTGCCCAATGCACCTATGGTAAATTAAGTCATAAATAAGCATCCTCTATCCCTTTGCAAAACAACTGCCAGGATTTTCTCTCTCCAGCAATCGCAACAAAAGCCAAGGCAACAGTACTAATACATGTCTTCTGCTTTGTAGTGGCATACCAATAATAGAATTACATCATGGGACCTTCTTTGCCAGTACCAGAGGACGCCAAAAGGCGTCCTCTGGTACTGGCAAAGGATCGAAAGAAAGCTGTCTCTGGTGTGGACCAATCAGTTTCAAAGACAATGCATATACTATCGGAGTATGTTTTTGTTTGCATTCTGACCACAACTATTGTGGTTAATGCAGACATGATTCCTTGTAAAAGGTTTCAGTTTGGTGTTTTAACATCTTAACACCTGTTTTGTTGCCAGAAAAAAGGGGAAACCTATTCTCAAGAATAGAATTTATATAATTTGTAAATACTGTACTCTTTATAACTTCTGGCTTTTCTTCTTCTTGGTTCTTTCGGTAAAGTCACGTAGAAGGGAAATAATAAAATGATAAAAATAAACCAATAAAATAATTATCACGACGTTTCGGCCACAACGCAAGCAGCCATCCTCAGGTGAAGAACAGATCTGTCGGAAAGCCAGCTGTCTTTCAGACAGACCTGTTCAATTTAAAGCTTTCGTGACTGCAGGGATTAATCTTCTTGGTTCTTTCGGTAACGTCACGTAGAAGGGAAATAATAAAGTCAGGTGAAGAACAGGTCTGTATGAAAGACAGCGTCATTCATGATCCGTCATTCAGACGCTATCTTTCCGACAGACCTGTTCTTCACCTGACTTTATTATTTTATTATTTCCCTTCTACGTGACTTTACCGAAAGAACCAAGGAGATGAATCCCTGCAGTCACGAAAGCTTTAAATCGAAATTCTGGGTTTTCTTCACACAAAAAGGCAAACAAACGGTATTTTAAGGACTTGTGTTCGTAATGCACACTTATGGGATAGGAACATTTAACGTACGAGGTGGCCTGTGTGTGTTTTTGTGATTACATTGCACGTTGTGCTGCTTTAGGTGATTCGCTCGCGTTGTTGGTCCCTTGTGCTCTGTGTCACATTAAAAACAGCAGGCCCTCGAGTCCCTCACCGCCACTTCAGCAGGAGTAATTACAGAGCCATAGCTTCATCCCTTCCTCCCACTCGGACAGGAAACCCCTTTGATCGCCAATGAATTCATGCCAGCAACACATGTATGCATGCGGACAGGTGTGTATAGCATGCACGCGTAGTGGATGTCGTGTATGCAGGGTAACAATATATGTTTACATACTGTACATGTAAAACTAACATGACTCAATTACTGTAATGTTACATGTCTACATTTGTTCTATAAAAACTAATGTCAGATCAAATATTTGCCCAAACATTTTGTTCTAATGGGTGACAACAATTATAAGTTCGTGTCGGCAAACCCAGGCATACAAATAGCGTTATGAAGCTGACTTCTTTGCGCAGCCAGCTGATATTATGTTGGATTTATGCCGCTGGTTACGTGTCTTGATTGCTACATTATACACTTTCTCGTCTTCAAGGATGTAACTTCAACGTAGTATGGAGGCTATGACTGCATTTCGTTTTTCACAGTTGTGCTGCGTGGCTCTGCGATGAGTTTTCGGGGTTGTACCACGTGTTGTATTGCACGATGCCCGACGTTTCATTCAGGGAACCAACGAGAATGAATTCGGTTCTCATAAATCACTTAATTGAGGAAAGAGTATCCCATCTTCTTGGTTCTTTCGGTAAAGTCACGTAGAAGGGAAATAATAAAATAATAAAATGAAAACAATAAATCTGGCTAAGGGAAGCTTACTACGTGACTTTACCGAAAGAACCAAGAAGATGAATCCCTGCAGTCACGAAAGCTTTAAATCGAAAAGTATCCCATCTTTTGAATTTTGTATTGTAGGCTCAATGCAGTATACGGCACTCACAATTCCCGATATATTGACTGGATTTTCTTAAATCTAATTATATCGCGAGACGTGCGTTCCACACCAACCTGAAATATGGTCATGGTCACATGCTCGTGTGAGCTTGGACGTGGATGTTAGTGCTGTTTTTGGTGAGAAAAAAACTAAAACGAAATCCAAAGATGCCGTGCAATTTCCAGTGACGGTGATAATATAAACACCTGGGGTGAAAGTGATAAAAAAAACATGTCAACACAAAAAAATGTTGCATGGAACCATAAGTGTGTCAATACCTTAGAGAAATAACGCAGTGCAGGTGAGATTTTTTACACATTCCGTTGAGTGTATTTTGAGAAGATATAGGAACAGGCGCGCTCTGTCTCTTTGCAGTTCATAATATATCATGTGAAACAAGGATCCCTCCCTTCCTAGAAGCTACTTACAAACATTGACATCAATTAGCAAATTTCATGCTTGGGACTGTGCAATTGACCTAACGACCTCCCGCACACGTGGAAAACTACGTTGGGTCTCGCCTTTGCAAAGTGTATGATTCCCCTGTGTTCTGAGGTTTAATTTTGAAATGCAAATGTGTGTTGAATTAAACATTGCATGGCTTTTATTATTATTATTTAAAAGTGTGTTGTTTTTATTTTTTAACAAAGTATTTTTCTGGGAGGAATATATACTAAAACATTCAAAGGACTGCACCGCGATGCGTTGGCCTGTCAGTCATGGACGCATAGTCACCATGCAGTAAGCGGTGGCAATTGGTTGTGGAAAACAAGTCCCGTGCTTTGTAGTAAACTTCCCTTAGCCAGATTGCCTAAGGGGAAATAAATAAATAAATCAAGAGCAAGAACTGCAATTTCACTTTGTATCAAAAAACATTATCCATGGACATTAATTTCACCCTCATGTGGGTCCTCGCCAGAGTGGCACAGTCCTGGAGCCTGGCCAGTGGCAGGGCTAATGTTTTGTTATAAAAGCAATTTACAAACCCACGTCTGTCGAATACTGAAGGGAACGGCCATTCTTTGTCTTTGACGTTCCGTGATTTTTTTTTCTTTCTTAGAAAATCTGCTATCAGCACTGTCGTTGTGTGTGCATCGACCATCTGTGTCCCTGGCGACTCCTGGGGTATTCATGCACAAAATAACTCTACCATGCTTGGAGCCACATTTTCCTTTTCCGGTTCATAAAACGCAGCCAAAATGCTCCTTTCGAGGCCCAAGCCTTTGGCAACGGTAATGATGAGTTGTATAGGAGCCAGGCCACACACCGGCCCTGGTGCTGGCATCGAGCAAAGCTACTGGATTTTCTGCCAATATGAAATGTTTTGCCATGTAACTGTCATACATCTGTCAATTTTTACTTGTCATTTTGTTAGAATTACACAATCGTAAGAAAAAATATACGCAGGATGTCTGGGTATAGAATAAATACCAAGACTCGTCGGTTTCAGTGGCATTTAAATAGACTTTGTTCTCATAAAAGGCTTCTTTCACCCACTATTTAAGACATCCCCAGCGATATGCACACTGGCACGAGTCAATAAACTGTAGGCGTTTTCATGCGGAGAGGAATTGTAAAGCAAAGAAAGAACGGGATCTAGTGTGAGAACCAACCATTGCATTACCACTGGCACCGTTCTTCGTGGCATTGCAATGAGACGGGATTATTTCGCAAGCCATACCAAAAGTCAAATGACATTAAATATTTTTCCCTTACCAGAACTCATCCATCAGCAGCAACGGCCGTGGTCAATCCGCTGCTGGATGAAGGCCTTCCCAAGCTGCTGCCACCTCTCACGATCCGGCGATGCAACATTCCACCCCAGCACCTGCACACGAGCCGCCGATCTCATCGTTATATTATTTTCCTCGGTCGACGTTCTCGTGGACGAGCTTCATTCATTGGCTGCCACTTCGTTCTTATTATAGTTGACCATCACTCACCATGCCTACTGAGGGACGTGTCCTGCCCAACTCCACTTGCTCTTCTAAACACTGCACTGCGTTGTGCTTTGATACGCTGTGCCAAAAACAACAACAAGCCACTCACGATATTGCTTATAATTGAAATGTACGGACGAGGTGAATGAATGTAATGTTTGTTTAAGGACAACCGTTACTATAATCTGACTTTCAGTTAGACTGGAGGCCCCTACAGTGCTGCTGACGTGGCGACGGCACAAATGGGACATCTGACTTGTGTGTGATTTTTTTCTGCGTAAAAAAAACCCATCAGGTTTAACCTGAGAAGTATTGAATCGTAAATATTGGCGAACACGATTCACGAACGGTGTTTTTTTCCACATTGGCACGAGAGCTCGGCAGTTGGGCTGATGTATTTTTTGTTGTTCACATCAGTCATCACTCCCGAGCGAAGCGTCATCACATTTGCAGAAGCTCGTGAGGCTGCTTGGAGCCGACTGCCCCAGTGTACGATCCTGCCCTGCATCACACCATCATTTAGGCGTTTATTGATTCATTTATTTTCACGCCCTGTAAAATGTACCTGAAAATTATATACTGTACTCTGAGTTCTTTCGGTAAAGTCACGTAGGTAAAAA